AAAAGTGCTAAAAAGTAGCTAACGCATAAAAAAGAAGTCGGTTATTACTTAAACTTTAAAAAATAAATTATTTATTAAACATACAGGATGTTTCAGTTTTATAAATTGATTTAAACGATTGTTTTGTTTGTATTAAACTAGAGATAAAATAGAATTATTAAATGAACTCAGTTCGATTTATTTAAAGTTGTATTTTGAAACTGTTTCTAACAAAAAACCAAATTAGATTATATTTATATTTTACCTTAATCATTTTCTATGTATATAGAACTCTAGTCAGATAATTCTTTATGTAAATCTATGTAATTTTTCATAATTTATAATTGTCACTTTAGGATAGTAGCATATTGCTAATATCCGCCGATGCAAATAATTTTGTACACAAATTTTTTCGCACTTTGCAATCGTAATTATTTTTAATTCATTATTCAAAACAAAAACTGTTATTTCAATATTTTTCCACCACATATTACATGACATTGACAAAGCAATGATTATTACACAAACCATTTAGATAAAAAATATTTTTTTTGAGATTTTCTGAGGGAATCTTTGCGACATTCTGTACCTTATATTACACATAAATATCTATAAACGCATGAATATATGTATGTACATACATATATTACCTTTACGTATACAATATTTCTATTTATAAGGATGTATATAATAAAATAATTTAAGGGACTTCTAAAGAGGTTTTTTTTCTTTGAAAAAAAGAAAAACTTTCAAACACTTCACATAATAAATTTAGGAGAAGAAATAAAAGACAATATATTCTATTTAGTTACAATTTTCTTGTTTCAATTTTCTGAGCAATCTTAAATATTTTTATTTGTCAACTTTAAAAATTCGACAGAGAAATAATACATATTCGTATGTACCACTTTTTCAAATATTGTAAATTCAATAAAAGAAATGTTTCAATGAAAAATACATATATACATATATGTATATGTATATAAAATATAGCATTTGAATTTCTGACTAAAGCTAGACATTTTTTTAAAGTTCGGTTCGAAATTTTTTGCTAAAAATTAAAAATTACATTTCTATAAATATATGAAGTCAAAGTTATATTTAAATGTTACCAAAAGTAATCCAACACATTCAAACAAACTTTAGGCATGTGTATAATTTTTTTTATTGATTAACACAGAATTGGCCAAAGCTTAACAGTGGTTACAAAAAACCATCCTGATTCAGCGTACTTTTAGACAACTGCAAATTTTATAAATCTTACAATTCAACCAAACAAACGAGAACTCCTATGTAATTGATAAATTGAGATATGTATGTATGTAGTATGTATGTACATATTTATTATATTTTTCTAAACGGCTCAATTTATTTATTTACATACATACATATATTGTCTTTATTTAAATGTTAAAATTATAAAAAAATTGTAGAATTTAAAAATGTAGTACGCCTTAAATGAAAATTTATAAAGTCGAATTAATTTTTTAAATTGATTTACAATTGCTCAACAACTCATAGTAACTCTCATTCTCTAGAAATTTAATGTTCATGATGTAATCTAGAAATTTAATGTTGTACATACCTACGTAATAGGGATCCATATGTACATACAGTCTGAACAAATACAATCTGAACTGTAGTTTCTATTTCTACAACAACTAGAAATCAAACATATGTTTATAAATACAAAAGAATCAAACAGACGAATAATTTTTTAATAAATTATCATTTAATAGCAAATTAATATTATTATGGTGGCTTAGATTTGATGATATAGTGTATTTATATTACAATTTAGGCTAATGTTGCTAGAATCTCTCACATATAACGAATTATATAATAATAATAACTAAGATTATCCCTATAATAAAATGTAAACATAAAAATAAGTTAGATACACAGAATATAATTTTTTTTTTTGTGAAAATAATAAATGAAAATAAGAAATTGAAAAATATAATAAATGAAAATGATAATAGGAAAAAAAATATTAAAATAAAAATAAGAAATAAACTGAAAACATTTTCACGTTTCTCGTCTATTGATTGAACAGTAATTTTCAATTTTCTGCTTGAATTATTCTTAAAAAAATGAGAAAAAAACGCATTTTACTTATTCTCTTTTTTTTCACTTATTCCCTTTCCTTTCCCTTCAACCATTGAATACCATATTATATTTTATTTAATATATATACATTTTTATTTTTCTAAAATATTTCACTATATTTTAGGAATCCTATGACATAAATAAGAAAAGAAAATGAAATACTGTAAAATTTTTCTTCAAGGTTTTTAGCTCTAAGGGTAAGAAATAAATATTATTCGTTTTTAAAAGTATAAGAATAAAGAAAATAAAAAGGACATTTTCAGTGTGTTATTTAGTTCCACAACAAAATTTTCTAATGTAATGAAATGAGTTTATTTATGAAAGTATTTCCAAATGTATATATATATATATATGTATAATATATATATATATGAATATTATATACACATACAAGAAGTATACACATCATTTAATTTATATATATAAATATATATCTTTATGCATATTTATAGTGTATATATTATAATAAAGAGGAAATTGGTTACAACAGTTGAAAAACTCAAAAAAGCGAATTAAAAACAAAATTGCTTTTTTTTTACCTCAAATAATTTACGATTTCTAAAATTATTACACCATTTATGAAGTAATTTAAATTTTTGTTACTTCATTTTTTATTTGAGAAGCGATAAGTCACAAAAAATTATTAGAAAATTAATTACAGAAATTGTTTTAAAATTACATGAAAACATACACACACATATATGTACATACATACCTATAAAATAATAATAATTTTTTTTTTAATTTAATAATAAAATGTCTGATAATAGCTAATTTGTGAGATATTTATGGCTAACTGAAGATCTTGTTTCAATTATCCATCGGAAAATGAAACGCTAAGTATGGAAATCACTCGCATACTCAATTCAAAATAAATTTATATTGCTTTAGGAGTTACCAAGTTAAAAAAAGTTACCAAAACAACAAGATGGCAAAGTAAAGAAAAGTAAAAGTAGACAAAATCTATTAAAAAAACGAAATCTAATCGGATCAGCGTGTTAAAAAGATTACGAAAATATTATTCAAATATTTCTTTTGAATATTGAGGAAATCAGTAAACCATAGTTAAAATACCTAGGAAATATACCTAAGAAATGATTTATAACATTTCTCTATCACGGGGAACTGCATTTATGAAATTTGGTGCCATCACATAATGCTTCTTATTGTATGGAATGCAGTAAATTCTAGATAAATATTCTGACAAAACATGGTGGATGGCATATTTCCTTTCTCCTTGAACATTTGCAATTTTTTAATCTCGAAAATATATGTAAACAAATAGCAATGGCAGGAAAATTTTTTTTAAGACTGTTTTTACTAAAAAAAATGTTATTTTCAATTTTAAAAAGATTGTGATCTTGAACCTACACGTTTTTCTGTTTTGAAATTAAACCGGACAAAAATGGTGGGATGGTAACAAAACATATACATACATTATACTATATGGCATATAAATTATTAAAATATGTTTATAGCCATAAAAATATATGATTTTAGCTTGTCATGTCGTAGTTCTTTTGTTCCATAATTTATGATCTTTGAAGTAATAGGCTCCTTTGATGTACGGTCGTCCTTTAATGTACTGGGTTGTACTGGTTTCAGGGGCTCTCTTTTTTCACCCTTTTTCCACCATTTTTTCTTTTTTTCTATTAATCATTTATAAATTTCTTACAAGTTACAACCAAAACAATTTATTACAAAAACTTAACGAAATTTTAAAGCTAAATCAGGGGATTGAAAAATTTCAATTTACGAAAGGTTGAATTTCTTGTAAAATATTTTTTTTAAAACAAATCCTTCCACCTAAAATATGCTATGATACTCGTAATAAATAACTTCCGTATTTCTTAGCTTTGCAAAAGTTTATAAAAGATATTTAAAAAAAGCACATTCTTTGGAAAGTATATCTTCAGTGCATATTAACTTAAAATATTTCAAATTATTTAAAACTACCGAGTGGCATTCCTCTTCAGCCCCTGGGTACGATGGAAAATATTGTAATATATAAACACATTATTTTACACAATAAAAATGTGTACTTATACTTGTCAAATAATTAGTGCTTTATTTCCGACTTAACTTTTTTTTTGATACATAACCACATGAAATGGAAATTAATAGGTCAATAAACAAGGGTATTAATATGTAGTACGACAACAGACTATTTCACATTTACGGGACGGAAGGAATAACAGGTCAAATAATAAAGATATATTATATATTTCAAATGGGTGAAATGGTAATTAAATTTACCTACATTTAAATTTTATAATGTGCATTTGTTAGATTATGCACATATTTCTTACGATTTTTAGCTTACGCAAACTTATAGATTGAACAATTTCAGTGCAAAATTTAAGGTGGTTTTCTGCAAAACGATTCAAATGAAGTCAATATAGTGAGTTTAAAATATTTAAAACTTTGTTTTCCAAAATATTCAATATATTAGAGCAAACATTACGTAAAAGGTAAATTGAAATCGAAAATGGCGTACTTCTTTTCCTATATTAATATTTTTGTAGTTGAAAAATATGTACTAATATAAATAAATGATATGTATTATAAATTTTTAATTTTATAATAAATATTTTATACAAAAATTTAATGTCGAAGTAACGTTTGCTGTTTTACAGAAGCGAGTTTTCAGTAATAAGTAAAAAAGGAATACAGACTTTAACGAAGCATTGCTCTTAACATTTGCATGATCACCAGCATTTTCCCGGTCAATATTCAACGCTTTCGAAAATAAAATACCTGTTGACAAATCTATTTCGTATTAAACAGTTAATTAGCAAAGCAGAAAGACAACTAAAAAGTTTGAGCGAATCCCACACAGAGGGTAGTATAAAAAAAATTATTAATTAATATTAGCAGATTTAACAACTCCGTTTTAATTTTTCAAAGTTCATTGTATAAATTTTTTTATTATAAATGTAACACAATAATTTTTATATAAATATTGTATATAAGTGCACAATATAAGTTTTAATTTAATTTCGTAGCATAATTTATTAAACATTAAGTAAAAAAAAAATTATAAACAACTAAAAACAAAATTTATAAAAAATATATGTATTATATTTTTTGGACCTTTTTCTAACATTAAAAAAAATTAATACAAAACAATTCAGGAGCTCAAATTATAAGTTTCCAATACAAAGATCGTAATCACATCAATGCAATCAACCGCAAGATAAGTTTTAAAGCCAACATTATTTTATTATGTGAAATGCATTTAAACTTCTATATTAATCAATTCAATTTAATTATTTATATATTTAAAAAAAAAATGTTGCAAATTATACTCAATCACAAGTACTTCTTATTCATACTTCAGTATTTAATTACTTATATGATTTTATAAATAGTGTAGGTACAATTCTTACAAATTAGAAAAAAAACTACATTTAAGATTTTAAAGATGCCAATCTGCTTTGCATCTCCTTCAAATCTTCTTCATCTGATTCTTCGGCAGCTACAGTTTCTTTTGGAGCCGTGCCAGCTACAGCACCTTGAGGAACTTCAGGTGCTTCCCCTAATTTTCCATCAGTTATTTCCCACAATACTTTATCAACTTCAGCTTGAGCTTGTTCTTCCATTTCCTCAGAATCTTCAATTGAATCCATTGTTTCATCTAACATTTCTTCAATTATACCTGCTTTCATCATTTCTTTGGACATATCTTGCATTATACCAGCTAATTCTGGATAACGTATCAAATTTTGCATTGCTTGCATCACTTCTGTAGACTTTTGCAACGAACCAGAAACGCGTAAGGTAGCTAAAAATTAAATTATGTAAATTTGATTATATTTGCAGAACTGAGATAAATTTTTCTTATTTAAACTTTTAGTTTTTGTTTAAACAAATTGTTTAAAATTTGTTGTTATGTTGAAATTAATGAATTTAAGTTGAATAAACCACGATTATAACAAAATTAATTGAAGATAATAAAAGAAGTTTATTTTTTCAATTATAAATGCATTTCATAAAATGAATACCTGCATTTAACGAAATTGGTTTAAATTATGTAGATACATCGTGTACATCAAATTACGACCCTATAGTTAAAGTTTAAGTTTGGCAATTGAATGATTTTAAAAATTGATTGGCGCTATAATTATTATTGAAACTAATAAAAGAATAATAAAAAAATAAGTATATAATTCATTTTAATCATGTTTATTCTACTTCGCTACTGGGAGGAGTATAGAGCTGGTGCATGATATCGTAGAGTAGATAACTATTAAGCAGTTTGAGTCATTGAATTTTGCTAGGAATGAATCTACCTATTGAATGTTAATCATAGGGTGATAAAAAAAGTTCCCTATTCATCCAGTTTTGAAACCGCCTGCTATTTTAAAGAAAACCAATTTTTGCAATTCAGGAACCTCTTATTTGACCTGATTTTATGCTTTATAGAAAATGCAATGTTTTTTTTGGTTCACACAATAAAAAAAAGATTCAGAGTATTATCTGCTTATTTTAAAAGATTGTAAACAATAATAACTTTACTTTTAAATTTATGTATATGTCCTTTATTTAGCCTATTGCTTAAAAGTATCCATCCATCTAATGAGTGTTAGGAATGAAATTTATCTGGACTTAGATAACTAGCTATACCTAAATACATGTACACATATATACATAATTATGAAGATTGTGAACTTACTAAAATTACTATTCGTTTAGAAATCTAGCAAGAAATTACCTAATTGGTTTTTCATTTGAAGTTGAATTGAGTTTAGATGTGCTTTACTTGTATGTATCCGATTTATTGCTTTTCTTGCCCTTATAACTTCTTTGGCTAAAATCACACAAGATTCTTTATCACCCTTTGCAGCTGCTTGTTTCAATGATCTTTTAACTTTTTCTTCTTCCCTTTGAATACCACGAATTTGCCTATCCAACTGATAGCCCTCCTTTCGTATTTTTGAACACCATTCATTGACCTGCGGTTCCGAATTATCTACCATGAATTTGTTTTCATACTTGGGTATTTATAATTTTAATATTCACCTGTTCTTTTGGATCTTTTTGAGTTGATTTACCAAATAAACCCATTTTTCAATTTATAATAATTATACCTATGTATAATATCCAAAACTTAACTAATTTTCAAATTGAAAAGTTATTTATAAAATGCAAAATTATGACTCAACTCCGTATTTGAAATTGTTCAAAAAAAATATTTAACTAGTCTTTCCTTATTATTCTTTTTTTTATATTTTGACTTTTTAAATGTCAAGCTCAAGATCTTATTACATCATCGAAGTAAATGTAGCGACCACTTATAAAAAACCAATTTAATAAGTCGAGTGACATCTTTCGTCGCAAAACATAGATAAGAATATAAGAATAAAAACAAATCTATATTTTTAGAAAAGGATAAGTATATTCAATTTTTAGGTGACCAACTTGTATTTATTTTTTGAAAAATTTTTTGAATTTTAAATCTCATAATTTCTTAAAAAAATAAATACATATTTCAATATTTATTTACAATAATAATGTATAACAATAATGTATTGGACTACCATCTATCTAAGGATAGAATAATATTAAATATATATTAATATTTGAGCTGTCGTACAAGATACTACAGTATTTGATACAACAGTATTTGACAATATAATTTGCACATTACATAATTTACATTAACAATTTTTGACACACAAAATACTCAAATCTTTGATATAATCATGTGCATGATTGATGGGTAAAATAAAAAATTGAAACAGAAATAACAGAAATGTAATCAGCTCTTTTAAAAATCTCTTACAAAATTTATTAAAACAAAATAAAATATGTATGTATATTAATAAAATCTCAAAATCTACGTCTATTATAAATATTTTTATTTTTGAATATTAGTGAATTCAATTTATGAATAAAGTATATTTCATTTGATTGTGTTACACATATTTTAATACCTCTTTCAATATTCGATTCCTTAAGCTCAAATTTGCCATCTCATTTTTAAATGTCAAAATATTAAAATCAGCTGTATAAGTAATTGAGTAAAAATTTGTAGGAAAAATAATTTTATCATATTGTCATTTATAAAATACATAGTGGATTTGTAAATGTTATAAATTGTTATAAATTTTGAGTTATACAGCTGTTATTGAATATAATATAAGCACAATTTTTCATCAAAGTACTTTCAAAATGCCAAGTTTAGTAAGTGAAACAGTTTTATGGAATTTTAATTCTTTTATTATGGTAAGAAACAAACAAAAATTTCGTGAGAACTTGTGTATATAAAAATATTTAACGAAAATTAGTAAAAATTTGAACGTAATATGCACATATATAATGTGGGTACATATTATAGATGCAATGTATACAATATAATTATGAACAAAATTTCCTTAATGGGGAAGAACGTTTTTCAAATTTGAACTATGTACTTATGTATGTATTTCAATTTGAGTCGAAGTACGACTGTAGTCATATACATATATATTTATAATTGTAGTCATATACATATATTCATATGCATCTGTATACACATATATAAGTATATATAAAATGTACATTCATGCATCGGGAGTTCTCCTACCCCACTCGGTTCCCTTGAAATCTGCAACCTACAATCTGCATCCATGCATATACATTACGGATTTCAGTTTCCCTTCAACTTTCAAATTTATATTTTTTTTAACTATAAAAGTGGATAAACGGAATTATCAAGCGATATATGTATGCACATTATGTGTTGTTAAAATGAAAATTTTTGATTGGTTAGAAATTTTTCACGGAGATTCAGATATTGAATGAAAATCCACCTTTGTTGTTATTGAAATTATTTTATTTTGTTTCATTAAATTTAAGTGAGAAATTTTGCTTTTTATTTTAATGTGAACCATTCTTAAAAAATGTTCACATTAAAGGTTTAACTATGAATATCAAAAACTTATTGTGTATACGAAAACACATTAAAAATATTTAGCTCTTTATTATTCAATCCTTTTTAGCTAAACTTTAGAAAGATAGCGTTTTCTTTTATTAAGCTTTGAAATAGTTTCCATACTAATTTTTAGTTAACATTAAAAATGTTCTTTATTTAGTAATTTTTATTACCTATTTGTATAATTGATTTCAATTTTAGGATATAGCGGATTTGTTAATTTTTTGCGCTGATGACATATCAAGAAGACAAGCCGATTTAATAAGAACAGAAGAATCTCTTTTAAGCATATTGGAAAAAAGAGATTTAATTGATAAAAATGAATTAGAAAAGATGCGACCATTGACAACATTAAAAGTGAAACAAGCTATCGATAGATATAAACCGCCTACAGAAAATCTGGTAAACGTTTATGCTATACAACGTGAAAAAGATGAGGAAGCACGGAAATTATATTTAGCAAGAACTCAAACTAAAAGTACTGAGATAAGCTTCTATCAAACAGGTTCAAACGTAACGTCACAATCAATTCAACCACAAAAATCTCAAAACGTAAATGTGAAAATAATACCTACGCTCTTTGAAGAACGAAAGGCTTGGATATATAAAGAAATATCCCTAGAAATCGGTAAAATGTGGAGATGTTTCGGTCGTGGTATTAATATTCGAGAAGGTGAAATGGACAATTTGGAGATCGAATGTAAAAGTATCGGAGAAAGAGTATACAAAATGTTACATATGTTAGAGAAAAATGAGTTCAATAACATGGAAAGAGTTTACTATAAAATTATTAAAAGTTTAGAGGAAAACTGTAATCGAAGAAAATTAAGCGATAAAATAAAGAAATCTATGATTAGATAACATTAATTAAACAGAAAAATTTATACACGTATTAAACAAAACATTAAGGCTTTGAAAATCTATTAAAACCCACACGTGCATAAGGATTTGGGGAATGATTTTAACATAATAAAATGAAATAGATACATACATAGGTGCATAATAATATTATAAATACTATTTACGTATTCTTCATTTGTCTAATTTTAATCGAAATTACATGGAGTTTTCAAAAATCCATTTTTCAATTAAAATTGTAGAGCTAAGTAGTACCGTTCAGCTTTTAAGGTTTTAGCGATACCTAACTATGACGGGCAATTTAACAGTGTTTATAATGTTTATAAAGAACTAGGGTATCATAATTTTTACTTTTGCAACATAATAATTTTTTTTTATTGATATGTACATAAAATGAAAACTGGGCTACATTTGTGTTCATAAACAAATGCTGCTATTCATGTTTATTCATAAACATGATTAAACATTTTCGAAATTATTACTAACGTATTGGAATCTTATGAAATGCTTTGATGTTTTGAATAATATGTATGTAGTTGAAAATGTATTGCACATTCATCACCTTAATATGTATTTGCAATATTGCTTTTATGAAAAGGCCTTCAATTTTTTTAGAAAAATAAAATTTTCGTAATGTTATAATCACCTAAGTACATACATACATATTGGCAATGAAAAAAATACCTTTTTCAAATTGAAGGAAATTCTATATTTTAAAATTCTTATTAATACACACTTGTCTTTAGCACTTTTCCAAAAAAAATTTTTAAAAAAGTGCTTATTACTTTAACTCTGTCCGTTTGTCTATTCGTGTGTCTGTTTACAAAACTAGGCTGAACATAGAAAGCTGAAATTATGAAAGATCTATGCTAGAAACATAAGCATTTTTCAAATTTTGCAAACTCAGAAAAATAGTGGCTGGCTTCTTACGTGGCATACCACACTTTAAAAAACCAAAATTTTCGTTAAAGGTTGTAAAAGTATGAAATTTTAACAGCTCTTAGACACTAACAAATAGTTCATTTCGTTAGAAGAAAATTTTTTTCCATAGTTACCTCTTCTCAAGTTATCAACCGTCGAAATTTGTAAATTTAGAATTTTCGGCAACTTATATTTCCTAAACTGCAAACTTTTTCAAATTTCTATAAATGCAGAAAGCTAACGGTAAATTCCATAACATTAAAAAATATAATTATTTTTCTTGACTCACAACATTACTTCTTAAAATCAAGCATTTGTTAACACCTTTTTAAATTTTTTTGTGCTTTCAAAGACTGCATAAATCGTTCATCCCAAATGTATGCAATCTTTGAAATAGTGTCGTATATAAATGAAAGTAATTTTGTACGGCTTGTATTTTCACTTGTTGAAGAGAAAACTGCTATATTACAAACCATTAGTTCGACCCAACTTTATTTAACTTAAAATCAATGTAATTAGAATAAGAAAATATGAATTTAAGTTAAACCTTAATCGAAAAACAGATATATTTGGTGGATTCTACTTGAGTTTTCTATTTCAAATTTTGGACGAATATGAACTATTTTACACAAAATCATCTAGCGTTTTTTTATGTGACGGCAGCACTGATTTTTCTATACTATTTTGTAAAGGCGAATTTCCACTCAATATCAGTCTTATCATGAATTCCGTTCGTAGCCCTAAAATTCAAAAAATTACGAATTTCATATTACTAAAATTCTGCTCCAAAAATTCGTAATAAAGTAAATTACGTTCGTTGTAAGATTACATACTCAAATGGAAACAAAAAAATAAATATAAACATTTAACGGTTGAAATAAAATACTGATTTTTACGCTCCGGAATATAATGCTTCCATCGATGATTCATAATTCTCATACATAACTATAGTGAATGGAATTTGTAATCATTCAAAAGTCTACGAGGAAGCTAAGTTCGTAATTATATATATGTGCAGTTACAAAATTTCCCAATATACACGGAAATTTCATATATAAATTTGCAAGTTTGGTATGCAGCAGTTTTTGTTAACTTCATTCGAAGGTTTATCAGATTCAGTTTGTAGTTTTACTGTTTTTTTTTTCATATATAACCAATTAAAATATTGGCTGACAATAGTTTGACATACAAGCACAAATTAAATGTAATGTAAATGATAATTAGATTTTATCTTCTGCCGTTTTCGTTTTTAGTTCAGAGTAGATTCAGATTTGTGAAAAAATAGATACGAGTCCTTTTTTATACCTCAAAGTATTGAAAGCTGAAAATTTGTGTTCCTTTTACGAATTTTAAATTTCGCAAAGCTCATATACTATTTTAGCACATCAGTCTTTGAAAAATTATGCAACGACAAATAACCGAATAAGCTCTATAGTGTTTGTTTTTAAAAACAGATAGCTTTGAATCTGATCAGATTCAACCTCTGAGCTTAAAAACAAAAACGTCCTGGAAAAAACCAGATTTTGTATGATTTAAAACTATTAGTTTAATCTACGAATTTGAGATCTAATATGGAGATTCAAGAGTGGAATAAGAAAAAATGAAAATGAGAAACCCAAGTATAAAAAAGCTTCATCAAAGATTGTTTTGAAATGAGCTTCCGCCAAAATCATAATTTCTAAAAAGTTTTTGCTTAAAAAAATTAATAAGAGGTGATAAAAGAAGGGAATGCGGAGTCTCCACTTAAAATTACGAAGCGGCAACATTCTATCTGAGTAAATTACAACTGTCAAATTACTTCCTACTTAATTCCTACTCATGTACATCTATCACTGTAAATGATGTCTGGTACTTTTGGCATTTAGCATTTAATAGTAAAATATTTTTGTGTGTGTGGAGACAGGTTCCTCAAGATAATTTTTGGTCGAAAAAGAAATAAAAAAATAATCATTTATAATTAAAAAAAATAATTAATTAAGTTTAATTAACGGTTATTAAATATAGTTGAAAAGGATAAAAGTATTTTTTAGAAGTTTTATACGTAGTATAGAATAAAAATGTCTGATTAAAAATTTTTGTTTCAATAAAAAAAATAAGTAGCTTCTAAATTTATCAATGTGTATGTTTGTTTAAGTTAACACAAACAAATATTTTGGATATATAAATTCAGGATTTTGTTTAGTTGCTTAAGTGGTAATTTGAATGAAGAATATTTTCGGAAAAATGTTGATGTGTTTGTATGACAAATCTTCGTACAAGAAAAAATGGTGGTCCTGGATGGAATAAAACCAGTTTTTTGGCATTTTTTTCTTTGTTTAATTAAATTGATTCGTTTAAAAGAAAAGTCTTAATTATTATAAGATTAATTAAGTCATTATTAATAAAGTAAAATATAAGTTTAGTAAAGTACTTCAAAAATATAGAGGTAATATTCCTAATGAAAAATTTATAATATTATATTTCGAAAAATATTTTTGGAAAATAGATTTAAAAGATGCCGAGTGCTTCGTTTACATCTTCAAGATCTTATGTTCGTCGATCAAGAAGAAAGGGTGGGAACCGTATAGCTTTGCCATCAAGAGCTTCTGGTTAGTATATAATTTAAATTTTTAGAAAATCGTGCAAGTAGATTGCAAACAATTTATTCAAAACTTGGTACTCGTATTTTTAAACTTCCTTGTATATTTTATTCTGTAATCTAATAACAGAAAAGAAACGCATTTGAGACTTGAAATAATTAGTAAAATAAGTATCTGTTAACAAAAACACTTTCAAGTCCTAACTTACTAAAAATTACAAAATTATTTTAGAAAAATAAATCATTAAAGACTTTAAAATTTTACTTTATAAACAAAGTTGTTATAGAATAAACAATCGCAAATATTCAAACAAATATGTACACTTGTAATGAAATCACTTTTTTGTTTATTTAAACATTTTGAAATGGCTTTAAACCAAAGTATATATTTTATAAATATTAGCCATAAAAGTGTCAGTAATGATAGATTTTACCAAGTTTTTTGAAAAGTTTTATACAATTTTTTTTGAAGGTATCATATGATTTACAACACTTCTTTCTTGTTTTCCTTTAGCTAATATGTTAGAGCCAAACTTGCAGCAAAATCTTCCTAACAATAATCCATCAACATCTAGTAGTAACACTTCTGACATAAATAATTTATCACTATCTAGCGCAGCGTCAAATTTATCAGATGTAGCATGTACAGCATCTACTTCAAGTAACAACACAAATATAAATTCCGAAATACAGAATCCAATACTTTCAAACTTGATGTCAACTTCGCCAACGGGAAACAATAAATCAAATGAAAATCTTATTACCCCGCCTCAATTACAATCAAACTATAGAACAATTTCATCCTTATCAACAACGGTGTCATCAAATGCCATTATTGGCAGTAGTAATATTAATACATGCCAGTCTATCTCATTAAATAACCAAAATAATGAAAGCACTAATTTAAGTTTATCATCGTCCACTTCTGGAAGTGCGTGTACTGTTAATTCTATTTCAAGTATAACATGTAATAATAGCACTGATAACTCTAGTAGTGCTAATAATAGTGTAAATCCCACCTGCTCTTTAGCTTCAGCAAATTCTAACGTAGCATCATCACATTCTGGAGGTTCTTCGTCACCACAATCTTGTAACACAGCACCATCTACCACTGCGGCAACCGCCACTTCGTCAACTTCATCGTTAACCGGATGTAGTCATCAATCGCCATATGATCTGCGACGCAAAATCAATCATGATTCTTTTTGGTGCAATTCAAACGGCAATAGTAGTAATTCTAGTAGTTCATCCAATGGTGCCAATGCAACAGGAAACAGTGCTTGCTTAAATCCTAATGGGATAAATTTAACATCAGCTTCGACGTCTGGCAATGCGCATTATAGTATTCAGTGTGATGATAGTTGTTATATGCTTCCAGCTAGAAAGCGTCCCCGACGCATGTATACATCAAGCAGCACAATGATAACAGGAGCCTCAACTGCCGCCTCAGCAACATCATTAGATATTTGTAGTCCTACAGCTGCACATTATTTGCAATATGAAATGCCCGATGAGGTTTTACTAACTATATTTTCCTACTTGTTAGAGCAAGATTTATGTAGATTATCTTTAGTTTGTAAACGATTTAACACAATTGCTAATGACACTGAATTGTGGAAAAGACTATATCAGTCTGTTTATGAATATGATATGCCATTGTTTAATCCAAAAATTTGTGAATTTTTATTTATAAAACCAGACGAATCTGAATATGCAAATCCATGGAAAGAAAGTTTTCGTCAACTCTACAGAGGAATTCATGTTAGGCAAGGTTACCAAGATAAAAAATTTAAAGGTAGAAATATACTGCATTTTAATACTATACAAGCTGCGCTGGACTACCCAGAAGAAAGAAATTTAAGTAGTACTTCTAACAATAGTGTAGCACTAAATGCAGCAGCAATAATGGGAGTTGCTGCGGCAGGGGGTGCAGCTGCTGCATTGTTGGTAGGTGCGGCTAATGGAGGTGGTGGTGGAGGCGCTGCTGCTGCTGCAGCTGCCGGTAAATGTTTATAGGATGAAAGTTTGTGTTTTACTGTTAATATTTCATTTAATTTTTGTTATAGTTGCTGGTCCAGTAGCTGGAGAACGTGCTCCTAGTAACTTGTCTGGCATAAACCAATCAAATTCAGCCAATGGATTTGATGATCTATCTAATTCTGAAACAAATGGAAACTTAATATTTTTACACGCAGGCCATTATAGAGGAGAGTTTTTGTTCATAGATTCTGATGTAGCGTTGATTGGTGCAGCATCAGGTAATGTTGCCGAATCTGTCGTCTTGGAACGCGAGTCAGGATCGACTGTAATGTTTGTAGAAGGAGCTAAACAAGCTTATGTTGGATATATGACATTGAAATTTTCACCAGATGTGACTTCAACAGTTTCACATCATAAACATTATTGCTTAGAAATCAGCGAGAATTGTAGTCCTACAGTTGATAATTGCATTATTCGTAGTACATCAGTCGTAGGCGCTGCTGTATGTGTTGGTGGCGTTGGTGCTAATCCTGTTATCAAAAATTGCGATATTAGTGATTGTGAAAATGTTGGTTTATACGTGACAGACTATGCTCAAGGAACATACGAACATAACGAAATCAGCCGAAATGCTTTGGCCGGAATATGGGTAAAGAATTTCGCAAGCCCAATAATGAGAGAAAATCACATACACCATGGTCGAGACGTTGGTATTTTTACCTTCGAAAATGGAATGGTATTTCTTTAGTGTCATTTAAAATTTATTTATAAACTTACTATAATTTTAGGGTTACTTTGAGAAAAACGACATTCATAATAATAGAATTGCAGGGTTTGAAGTAAAAGCAGGTGCTAATCCGACTGTAGTAAAATGTGAAATTCATCATGGTCAAACTGGTGGAATATACGTACACGAAAACGGTTTAGGGCAATTCATTGAAAACCGAATACATTCTAATAATTTTGCAGGTAATAATCAAATTATTTAAATCCTTATTAAATATTATATTATACTCGTATAAATCCTTTATAATATTTCTTTCTTTTCGTTATAATATAAATTCTTTATTATATAAATGTGTGTAATCACATATTATCATATTTTTTAGGAGTTTGGATAACTTCAAATAGCAATCCAACTATTCGAAAAAATGAAATATATAATGGTCATCAAGGGGGCGTATACATTTTTGGGGAAGGAAGGGGATTGATTGAACACAATAATATATATGGAAATGCTTTGGCTGGAATTCAAATTCGCACAACAAGTGATCCTATAGTGAGGCATAATAAGATTCACCATGGTCAACATGGTGGAATATATGTTCATGAAAAAGGGCAAGGTCTAATTGAAGAAAATGAAGTTTATTCTAACACACTTGCAGGTGTTTGGATTACAACAGGAAGTACTCCAGTGTTACGCAGAAATAGAATACATTCTGGGAAACAAGTAAAATATTTTTTTGAAATTACAGAAAGGAATTGTAAATTTATGTAAAATTATCTTTAGGTTGGGGTTTATTTTTATGACAATGGGCACGGAAAACTAGAAGATAACGATATATTTAATCATTTGTACTCTGGAGTACAAATTCGTACCGGAAGCAACCCAGTTATAAGAGGTAATAAAATCTGGGGAGGACAAAATGGAGGAGTTTTGGTTTACAACGGTGGATTAGGTCTTCTTGAACAAAATGAGATATTTGATAATGCCATGGCAGGTGTCTGGATCAAAACCGATTCAAATCCAACATTGAAACGCAATAAAATTTATGATGGTCGTGATGGAGGAATATGTATTTTCAATGGAGGAAAAGGAATTCTTGAAGATAATGACATTTTTCGAAATACCCAAGCTGGAGTTTTGATATCAACTCAGTCTCATCCAATTTTAAGAAGAAATAGAATATTTGACGGCTTAGCTGCAGGTGTAGAAATAACTAACAATGCTACAGCAACTTTAGAACATAATCAAATTTTTAGTAATAAATTTGGAGGTCTGTGTCTAGCAAGTGGTGTCCAACCAATAGTTAGGGGTAATAAAATTTTTAATAATCAGGATGAAGTAGAAAAGGCTGTCTCTGGAGGACAGTGCTTGTATAAAATCAGCAGTTATACATCATTTCCAATGCATGATTTCTATAGATGTCAAACGTGCAATACAACAGATCGTAATGCCATTTGTGTTAATTGTATTAAGAATTGTCACGCTGGCCATGACGTTGAATTTATTCGGCATGACAGGTTATTTATACTATTAATCATTTTTTGAAAAAATAGTAAAAATATAACAAAAAAATATTTCAGGTTTTTCTGCGATTGTGGTGCTGGCACCTTAACAAATCAATGCCAGTTACAGGGGGAACCTACTCAAGATACAGACACTTTATATGATTCGGCAGCACCAATGGAATCTCATACACTGATGGTAAACTAGGGTCTTGTTATTTTTATAATTCTGTGTTAATAGATATTAATATTTTTTAAACATAAAAATAATAAAACCCTTTTAAATTATTATTTATTGAAAAATAAAATAATTATAAAAGTTTAGTATTTCTCATTCAATAATATAATTATGTAAAATATAGTATAGAAATTTAAATATAAAAGCTGTAATCTTAATGAGATTAAAGTAAGTTAAATTGTTTTAACTTTATCCAGTTCAAAATTTACGAAGGAATTTCAAGTACACATAAATATTTGAAAAATTCTACCAATTTTTGATTTAAAGTAAATAATTTTAAAGCTACATAGAGAAATTAAAACATAAATTTGACTTAGTTTATTCTCATTGTGTGGCAGCTTTTTAACTAAACTAAAAACATTAAATAGATAACTTACTCTTAAAATATGTTTAAAATGTTTTCAAAATTATTTGATTTCCAAATTTGTATACAGTAAGAATTATATTGATTTATTTAAAAAAAACAAGGAAATTAACATAAATTTAAAATAAACCTTTTTCTTATTCAGAAGCTATTTATCAAAAACTTAGGAAAACCAAACTTATACACACATGCACATACATATAAATATATGTACGTATGTATGTATGTATGTATATAATAACAATGGTAACATTATATTGAAAAATTTTTAATTCTTAACAATATATTAAAAAATTACAAAATTATAGAACTCAAATGTAAAATTGACCAATTGTCTTGAAAATATTTGAATTAACAGTTTACTTTTAAGGAACGACAAATAATTGAAGGATTAATTTCAGAAAAATATATTTAAGCTTACGACTGTTTTACATTCTTAATTTTTAAAATATTTGATCAAAACACAATAGTTTTTTTAAATAAATTGCTAATCTAACATCTGTAATTTGTTCATTATCAAGTGTGCTAAAAAAAGAACAAACCACAATTTTAATGATTCTAATTTTCCACAATTTGACTAACTTAAATCACAATGTATATTTATATTATATATATATATATATATATTGTATATATATATCAATAAGTATTCATATCTTTCTTTTCCTTTTTGGAACTTAACTAATAAAAAAATTTTTGTTTTTTGAAAATTTTTCTTACTAAGTAAAATATATTTTTCTGAATGTTGAAAGAATTACTTTTATCATTACTATTAATCGAAAAAAATAATTCAAAAAATTAAATTACTAATCAAAAATACAATATATTACATAAAAAACAATTAGATTGTAACTTTTATTTTTCATAAAATTATTCAAAAATTCTCATGCGTATATGGAAATATAAACAAATAAAAATATATAATATTCACAAAAATAAAGTATAAAATGTATTTGAAAAATTAACTTTAAGTAAATATTAAAAAAAGAATAAACTATATTTTTAAGTTTTTAGGAAAAATTTTTTACTATACAAAAAAAAAAACTAAATAAAATTACATTTCTCGAATTGTTTCTGTCTATTAGCACTACAAAAAAAAAAAAAAAAACAAAAAAAAATAAATAAATATATAAAAAAAATGTAATTTAAAATAAACACTAAGTTAGATCTATAATTTTATAATCAATTTTTTTTATAAGTATAATTCTGCGTTTGCAATGTTTAGCCTCTCTGAAGTCGAAAATAAAATAATTCTTCTTAAATAATTTACTCGTAAATATCTCAACCGTTTCAATGTGAATTAAATATAAATTTTACATAATTTCATTATATTAATTATCAATTTTTGACAGAGTTAAAATATGTTTTGATGTTTTTATTTGTTAATTATAAATTGTTATTTTATTAAACATTGTAATTTTAAAAGCGGTTGACTGGATCGTAGTATTTATGTTATTTATAATAAATAACAAACCCTTGATGGGTTATAATTTTTACTCTTATTCAAATAAATTTTGTTTTTTAAAATTTTAAAATGGTGGATAGACTGTTCACTTTTTTTTTCAAGCCTTGAAAAATAAAATTCTATTATGGAATAAAAAATTAGTTCAATTTTCATTGATAAATATTTTCGAAATTACCTAAACAATTTAATTTTGCAAAAAAAAAGTTGAAATAAGCTTACTATAAATATTTTGTTTAGAGTTATAAATATAAAAAGTATGTAAAAAATATTTCATAAATACACTATTTATAAATACCTGAATTTAATTAAATATACATGTATTTTTTTTAATACAAAATAATTTATTCTTTAAAAAAACACTAAACAAAATTAAAATATTAATAACAAATTTTACAAAGGGATAACATTTTCATAAGTCTTTACCTAATTAGAAAGCAAAAATTGGGCTTTTAAATTATTTTTTTATTTGATTTTTATTTTTTGTCGTCTTTTTATAATTTTATTTTTATTGTATATTAAAAAAATCCAAATTTCATTCGATTTAGATTTATTATTCAATTACGTTTATTTCCAATTTATCTGTACAATTTCATATAATTTTTTTGAAAGGAAATTTATTTTGCGTTAATGTAGTTATTACATACATACATATTCTCAATTTTTATATTATATATAGTTAAAATTACATTTTTTAATTATTTTCATTTTAATTAGAGATCAGTAATTCCAGTTTATCGTATGTAGTAAGTTTTGATCAAGCAAAAAGAATTTAGTTATTCACCTATATTCTGTTTGTGGCAAACCTTAAGGTGATAGCTTATTATTGAAAAGAATTTTATTTTTATATATAGAATTTCAATTTTCAGAATTGATTTTATTCGGAAAATTACAAGATTTTTGAATAATAAACCATTCAACGTCAAGTAATGCGACTAACAGAATACGGGTGATTAATTTGGAATTTTGATCAAACAAAACGCAAACGACCTCAAGTAATGTATCTAACTAAGAGAATGTGGTCGGTAATTGGAAGTTTTGAAAAATATGCACATTATGGTTTTGGAAAAAAAACAATTAATACAATTTTTTTTTTTTATTAAAAAACAATTTTTCTTGAACATTGCTTCTTTTTCTCTCTGAAAAATAGAATTATACGTGAGTTTTCTAATTTGGTGAGAATAACTAAAATTATTTTACCTCTAAATACATATACAGAATAAAATATTGTTATAAAAATATTGAGGAATTAAACAAATTTTGAAATTAATTAGTGCACAATAAAAATATTGCTTTTTGTTGTGCAATAGTAACGCAATGAAATAAAACGCAGATTCAATTTATTTAAAGTATACAATGATTTTTTTTTTATATTTTATAGTTAAAACTAAACTTAGAATAAATTAAAAAGAAGTAATAAATTGCAAAAATTAATAATATTAAAAACTTATTTAATAATTTTTTTTTAAAATTAAGTATAAGTTTGGTGTATGAGAGTGCGATGTGATATTTAGATTAGATTTTAAGTGAGTGCTTCTTATTTGGTAATTTTTTTTTACATTCATAATATATAATTGTAAAAAACATATTAATTATTCATACATTAAAAATTTAGGCGAAAATATTTAATATTTCCAATTTTTTCACTAAAATTTTAACAAAAAAGATAAAGTAAAGTTCATCGAAGAAATCATATTATGTATATAAAAGATTAACGGTTAAGGATAAAGTAATTATGTTAACCTGTGGTCTAATACTATACAGTCCACCAAACTTAATAGCATTGTTGAACTAAAGCTTAATAAAAATTTTATTTTTTTTAATTCTTTTCATTAGAGTTTTTGTTATACATTTACTACATTCTTTTATTTATTGCATTATACTACAAAAAAAAAAAGTTTTTTTTTTTTAAATAAGTTCTCAATATCGTGCCAATTTTATGAAAAATTTTTATAAATATTAAAAGAAATTTTCTATTAATTATTTAAAATAATAATAAAATGTGGCAATGACGAAATTATCCCCACTTTTTTATTTTATTAAATATTAATTAATTCAAGTAAATAATAAGCGCTTAATTCTAATATTATTTTTTTCCTATTAAACCTTCTATAAGTTTTGATTTATGCACTTACCAAAATGCAGATCTAATGTCAAATTAACTTAATCAGTAATTATTAAAACAGTATTACTGAATAAGTCAAGTTGACGTTAGATCTGCATTTTGGTAGACACCGATACTTTGTTTTAGGTAAAAAAAAAAAATTTAATTTTGTTGACTCAAATTCTTTTATTAATTTTTTTTTTTAAAATGTTAGCGCAAAAGTATTATAGTACATACAAAAAACATATTTGAAAAATTTAAGAAAAAAAAAACATATTTAAAGTCCAAAAGTAGCGTTCGCCAAATAATTAATAAGCATACAAACAAACAGAAAATGAAACGTGTAGTAATTAAATTAAGTTGAATGAATTCTAAGAGAAATTGACAGTTTTAGCAATAAATATTATGTAAATCGAAAATTATATAATATAAAATACATATATGTACATACATATAGATAATATCTTATTTCAACATCATAATAATTATTATGTATTGTAGATTCATATACGATATTCATACATATATTTGTAAAAATATGCTTTTTTATTTTATTTTTATATAATCAAAAATATCTCAGAACCGACGAAATATAAATCATATTATATAATATTTATTATATATATGATATGCCGGTTATACAACATACTTACATAATTATGTTAAAATATAATAAGCACAACATAATGTATGTATGTGTGTATAAATGCGCATACGTATATAATATGTATATTTTATAAAGTAAATTGTATTGCATTTATGTATTTATTACAAATTAGCTCATAAATTTATTATTTAACATTGTGCATAAAATATAAATATTAAATACGCTAAACAATTGTACATTTGTTTTTTTTTAATAGTTTTTTTTTTCTTAATTTTTGATATTAAGATCTAACATGTATTTAAAAAGTAAGTTCACTTCGCATACATAATATTAAAATATATTTAAAAGCATTTATTAAACATGTTTGTATTTACGTGCATCAAACGTGCATATTTATAAAAATGTATATATATCCAAATACATAGTGTATAAGTATATATTTTACGTAAGTATATATATATATATATAATCAAATTATCATATATGTACATAATATTGAATAATAATTATATTAATTTTGGTATAACCATAAATAAACAAAAAAGATGTCTAGAGAGTTGTATTTGAAAATTTTTCTGCTAATTTGAAAAAAAAATGTAGTGCATAAATTTAGTATCAACTTATAAACAAGTTATAAACTTCTCTACTTTGTTTATAATATATTTTTAATTTAAACTGTATTTTATAAAACCATACACTATTTTTTTATGCAGATTTGCAGAAAAAGTGACAAATATGTAATTATTATAATGAATCTTCTTCATATATTTTTCTTTGTTTATTTATTATACACATTATATATGTACGATTAAAATTATTGTGTACAATTAACATTTATACGAATTATAAATTTATATGTAGAACGCCCAGTGCACCTAAATTGTAAGAATGCTTATTTTTTGGACTGATTGAAGTACATTTTATGAAATTATATTGATTAAATAAAAATTGATGTTTAATGAGAACAACAATCGATTTTGTAGTTTATTTATATTTTTCAGTCGATTTTACAAAATTACAAATACATACATATTTACAATTTAAGTACATACTTATGTACATCTAATTAAATATTTATATACCTATTTCTCCAAATTCCATTCACCCATATCATCATTGTCAAAAATTGACTTTCACCAAAGAAAAAATAAGAGGTTGATAAATATTTGACAGTTCATTTTTTAAAGATGACACTAAAAATGAATGTTAAGTTCACAACAATGTGAATGATAAAAATAATAATGAGGCCCCATTGTAGATATAGATTTACGTTGTAACTATGTACATTTAATTAAACTTTTGAAATGTACATATGTACATACTTCACTAAACAAAATTTATATTAACCCGTAATTACTGAAATAATTTTATTCGAAGAATATTATGAATACGTAATTACTGAAATTATTTTCTTTTTTATTTCTATTTTTTATTTCATAAAAAGGCTAATGAACTACAGAAACCAATTTCATTCAGATCTAACGTAAATAGTATATAATTTTTTAATACCTTATGTATAGAATCAATATGATTAATATATTTGTACAGTACGTAATAGGCTTTAAAAATTACTGCTCCCAGCGTTACAAAATTGGATATGGTGTTACAATACAGTACTTAAGGGTTATTGAAGATACAATGTCAAATTTTTTTTAGGTGCGTTCTTTTTAAGTGTTATTAAGTGAATTTAGAACACTAGATATTCAAACAATAAAATTTAAATTTTACTTTTTGAAGCTTTGCAAAGCTTCAATTGAAAAATATATGCCCTGTGTAGAACTTTTAAGTTACTACATTCAAAAAAACCGAAAATAAAAATTTATTAGCAGTAAATGGAATATTCTGAGATAACAAGTTGCTCTAATTTTTAGATTTTACATCATTTTAGAATGCAGAAGTTCTATAAGCACTTTTTATAAAGTTCTATAAGCAAAGTCAAAGCTGTGAGTTTCTGTTTTCCCAAACCAACAGTATCTGCTAAGTACTTAATGATACATAATACGCAAGAACCTAACCAGTTTTAGTGTGCAGTGCTGGAACTAAAAAATTATTTTATTGTTTTTGACATTTCATGTATTTTCACATCAATCATATTTTTGTACAGTAGAATCTCATTTTGTTGTATCCACAATGAAACAATTTAGAATATGGCATACAACAATGAAGGTTGCCTCACAATAAAGTATAAGTATCTTCCAAATTGCATATACAACGCATCAGACAATTTGATGATTTCTTGTGTTTAGAATTTATTTGATGTTGTATCTTAGTTGCTGTTACACGAAAATATTTGTCAAATTCTGTACCCAAAAATTTATCGATGCATATGTGTTATTTTACTTGCAAGTAAAAATTTTCAAATTTAATTTAATATTTTTTATTTGTAAATTGAAGTAAAAAATTTTCTCATTAAAGTAAGCAATGGAATTAAATAATACAATGCATCAAAATATTTAAGTTTTCAAATATAAAATGACACAATATGTTTGAAAAAAAATGAAACATTGTATCGGAAATTAAATCGATTTTGACAAAATCGTACAACTTTTATTTGATGATTTTGTGGAAACCTTAACTTTTTAGCTAAACAGTAAATTTCGTTACTAAGTATAAATGTTTCGAATGAAAAGTAAAACCTTTTTACTTTTCATCCTGTAAAACCTTTTTACAGGAATTATTTTTTTGGTGAAATTGATGTACAATCATTATAAAATTCGGATAATGTATAGCGAAATTAAAAATAATTTCAAAAAGAAAAATGCATCATTTCGTTTTAATTTTCGGATTCTGTCTTTTGTAAGGTATTGTAAATATTTAAATTCTAAGATTAAATAGACGATAAAGCCTGATAACTGTTTACATATCAGACTGAAATTATCTGATGGCGTCCAGACTTAACATCAAAATTTAATAATTTTGCTTCGAAAATAAAATAAACAAAATAAAAATATTTCAAACTTTCACAAAAAATTAATTGTTGCTATCTCATTTTAAAAAATCTTACTTTAAAGTAAGCCTGATGAGAAGTTTCTATTATTTGCCGTCATACAAAATGTTATGTCAAGAAGAGTCTACAATCTACATATATGACTGCCTCAGATTAAATCTGAAATTTTGTCGTATATGTAAACCGCACCTATGTACCTTGTGTAAAAAAAAAATTTGAGCGTAAAGTGACTGTAAACTTCATAATTTAGCTGATGAATAGAACCTTTTACAAATTATTAAAATTGCATATTATTTCAAAAAATGTGTAATGAACAGACCTAATAGATTTTTTAATCAGTAACTTCTTTCAAATTATGCAAGTCTTGCTTCGTGTCTCTTAACTTTCTCCCGGCTTTTTTTCGTTGTATTTGGCAAGACGAAGTTGAATATTAAATTATCTGAAACTATTTTTTTAAGTTAACAAAAAGTTTTTAATATATAGAAACTTTATTAATTGCGATTTAGAAAAATTTTAATTAAAAATGGGATTGTTATACAATCTTTTTGTTCGACTCGTGAACTTTGCTGTTTTTTTTCTACTTATAGTTTTAATTCCTGGGTTACCACCTAACACTTACTTTCCATTTACTTCAATTGAGTACGTCTAAAAATTTTTTAGTATCTACTGAACTAACTACCTATCACTCAATTATTTTTGAATAATTTATGTACATACATACATACATACATATATATTTTTATATTTTTCGTTTTGTTTAACTTTAAATGATTAATATCCAATTTTAATGATTTTTTTTTAAGGCTTAAGCCTCAACGAGAATTAAAGGGACCTTTAGCCTTAAATAATTTATTGGACAACGGAGAAAGATTGTTGGGTAAGCCTTACTGAATTAATACAATACTGAAACAATATGTATTTTGTTAATATCTTGTTTCAATATTGTTGTTGAAAAATAACCAGCATGTCATTTTATATGTTTAGATTTTTGATTTCTTAATTTATACGTAACTTACAAAAATAAATCAATACGCCCTAATAAATCGAAAGAGAAACAATATATAAAAAATTATCTTGATTTTATTTTAGAGGGTCGAGTTCATGGCCCAGAAGCTCTTTTAGCGAGAAAAGATGAAGTATATACGGGAATTCAAGGTGGAGAAATAGTCAAAATAACTGCAGACCGAATTAGGCATGTAGCTAAATTTGGGCCACCATGTGGTAAAACGTTTTATTTTAATGTGGTGTAAAGTTTTATTTTCAATTAAATTACTGAAACCTTTTTCATTTAAGAAGGAGTATATGAAGAAAGTAAATGTGGTCGACCTTTAGGACTGGCTTTTGATACTTTAGGAAACAATTTAATTGCAGCTGATGCATATTATGGTATTTGGGAAATTGATTTGTCGAATGGAAAGAAAAAATTACTTGTATCACCTAATCAAGAGTTTGATGGTACCGATGGAAAAAAACGTATGGGAAAAGTATTTAACAGTGTAGCTGTTGCAAAAAATGGAGATATTTATTGGACAGATTCGTCATCTGATTTCGCGTTATCAGATGGTATATTGGCTTCATTTTCAAATCCATCAGGAAGGTTAACTTATTCATTTCAAGTTATTTCAATTTCCTAATCAGTATTAATGTATTTTTAGACTTTTCCACTATGATCGTAGCAAAAATGTAAGCAGTTTACTTATTGATGAGTTGCATTTTGCAAATGGCGTTGCCCTAAGTCCGAATGAAGATTTTGTAGTTGTTGCTGAAACTGTTTCATCACGTTTATTAAAGTATCATTTGAAGGGATCAAAAAAAGGTCAATATGAAGTGTTTTTAGACGGATTACCTGGTTTACCAGACAACTTAACACCTGACTCAGATGGTTTATGGGTACCCCTTGTGGCTGCTGCTGATTCTGAACATCCACAAATAATGCAATTGTTGTCACCATATCCAATAGTTCGATTGTTTGTAGTTCGGTTTTTAGCGTTAATCCAACTACCTTTTCGCTTCTTTAACAATTTGATTCCTATACCTTTGGCTCAAAAAACTTTGCATCTTATTGGAAATTTTGAATCTGTAACATTTCTTTATCCCAGTCGTTCTACAATTCTTCGCTTAGATTGGAACGGAAATATTCTAGGTTCTTTACATGGCTTTGACAGATCAGTAGGTTTTGTCAGTCATGTATTAGAATTAGATGACAGTTTACTTCTGGGATCACCATTTAATAAGTTTTTAGCAAGGGTCAAATTGCCACGTGCTGCCCAAGTTAAAATTCGTAATGTTAGGTACGAAGGAGCGATAGATATGGAACCAATAGTTGTTGAAAGGAAACAACAAGCTCCCGAAGCCCAAAAAGCAGTGCCTTCTACAACCACAACCACCGCGAAGCCTACGACTACGACTACAAAGAACCCTTCAACTAAAACTCCGAAAGTGACTACCACACCTAAGCCTGTAACATCTACACCGTCAAATCCGAAAAGTTCAGATACTGGTGCCAAATCTGCTTCTCCAACTACAGCAAAGCCAACAACAAATAATCCAAATGCTCGGGAAGATCCAGCTCCTATACTTGAAAATATACCAGTGGACGCAAAACCACCCAAAAATGAAAAACTTAAAGTTATAAAAAAAGGTGGCGTCCACGGAGAGTTATAAATTTTATTTGTCGTTTGACAATTTTTATATTATTAAAAATATAGTGGCATAATATTTACTAGTTAATTGACCGAACAAAAATGATAAATAGAACTATATTATACAGTATGTTTTTAGATAAACTTTGGTTAAATGTACAACATGTTAAAATGGCTTAAACTAGGTGTCGTTATTATCCCTTTGCTGCCTCATAGCACTGGTACTGTTTACATACACATGAGTACGTTGAAATTTAAACTGTGTTACACAACTCACCATATTGATTTGAATATTATCATTCCTTTATAATTCTTATACAAATTGATATATTTATGAATAATATAAATTACAAAGTATGTATGTATGTATGTATATAAAAATCTCACTTTTTGAATATTTTATAAATTTTTAATTTACTTCTAAGTTATTTTGTTTCGGATTGAAATTTTGCATTTTTGTTTTTGTATTTAAATTTCTGAAATATTGAAAAAAATTTCTTTAAAGGGTTTAAATAAAAATTTATTGTTTTTTATATATTTGTGCTTTTCATTCTAGAATTAAAGAAAAATAAGTTGATCCATGATAACACATTCTGCATTTATTTGCATTTTAATATCTTTTTCTAGGCTTTTCTGTCATAACATGATATCATAATTTTTGCCATTTCGAATAAAATACCATTGAAATTTTTTTTTGCGTTATTTTTGTTTTACTAAAAGATTAGTGAAAAATTAGCGAAGTTGGTTTAAAAAATTAGCATTTTAAAGTGTTGCTACTAAATATTACATAGTATTAAAATTTTGAAATATTTTTTATATCATATAAGATATACACTTTTTCCAATAGCACTTAGTATTAATCAGAACTGAATAAGTTCATTTACCCAGTTTTAAATGTTTTTAAACGTGCGTTTCACTAACATAACATATGACAATAGCAAACATGGACAAAAGCGTATAACGTGACATATCTATATTTCAATGCCTTTTTAGAAAATTTTGTGATCTTGAAAAGTGAATAACTCTTGATTTTGAAAAGTGAATAATTTGTCAGCAAACGTAGATATGTTCTGATAGAAAACTCAAGCATTTTGTGTTTGTTTTTGGAATTCGTTAACAAACGCGAATTACAGAAGAGTTTAATACATTGATTTGAATATTTTAATTAAAATTGTATTTGAAAAAGTAGTGTAATAAATAATGTAATAATTTTTATTTTCTTCTTTCTCGTTAGGTTTTTTAAACCTGTCGAATTCAAAGGGTTTTCAAAATTTACCTCTTGCACTTTTGAAAATATGAAATATACATGACCAGAAAGCATAAAAACTATTCTATACTAAATATTAATCCTATTCTAGATTAAATATTCAATAAATCAATACTTGTGAAGAGAATCGATATTCTAGACTTGGGACAAAAATTAGCTCATGAAGCGATTTAAAGTAGCAAAAATAAGAATAAACTTTGAGAAAATAGAACAAAACTATTAGCGCATTTTTTTATAGATTCATTAGATTGATTTTATTTAAAATTATTAACTTTGCTTAAATATAATTTATATAATACCTATGTACATTTAATTAATTTCAATTGATTCTTATAAAATACACGTTATGTATACTGTATAGGATATTGGATAATTTAACACTCTAAACTAAAAAGAAAAATTTTGTTAAGTTTTTTTCATTCATTATTTTGCTGTTGTTGGCTTTGATTTAGTAAGGCAACATTACTGGCTTTAATTCTGGGAAACGATGAACCATTATTAAATAAAGAAAATCCAGTGTTATTAGGTTGAGATTGACTAATAAAAGTTTGAAATATGTGTGGCGACATACACGGAGTTGAACAATGACTACTGCTAATATCACATTGATCTAAAAGTCGCAATAATTCATTTGCGTTTGGACCTCCAGCATTTTGCTGAATTGATTCACCTCTAACTAAATCTAATGCTGTCGTTAGATCCCACATTTGGATAGCACCATTACTATGTCCAGTTAAAATAAAGCGGCTACCCATACGGGAAGAAAGCTCGCAACAAACTACACAAAACGATGTTATAGTAGTATTGTCAACTGACTTAATAATACAAACACGATCACCATTAGAAGCTAAACGTACATATAATTTATCAGTTTCTGGAACAACCTTTTGAACAAAAACTTGCTCATCATCTTGTTCCCCAAATGGACCAAAATCATTTCCAGCTGAATAGCTGTATTGCATATCAGTAGCTTCAAGTGACACTATTTTAAATGAAGCTTCTGGTGTTGATCCAGGTTGGGTGGAAATCATACCACGAAATCGTTTGACTTTCCATGTTCTGACGTGATTATATTCACTACATACTGATATTAAATAGTTTTCAGATAAAGTTACCTTAAAAAAAAAAATAAACAATTTTAAAATATTTATAAAACAACTTGCTATTTTATATACTTTTGTTACTGGGCTCTGATGTACAGTAAACGTTTGGAACAATTGAGGCCCATGTCCCACAGTTTCTGGATGTTGGACTATTACTCGGACGGATCCAGATTTTGTTCCGTAAGCAATTTCAATCCAGTTTCCACCAAGTCCTTAACAATTTATGAAATTAACCAAAACAATATGTAATTTATATACTTACATAAATATATTGCAAAAAAATTCGCTAAATTTTTATTTTAAAGTAAAAATTAACTGTAACAAAAATCTATTAAAAGAGAATTTACTTGAAAATCTTTCTGGATCTAACACAGAATTTGCTTAAAAAGTATGCATATTGTATTTAAATAAAAGATTAGCAAAATATGTAAATATTACGAACAAAAACAGTTTCCTCAGAAACTAATTTTATAAATTTTAAGATTACATATACATATGTAAATAAAATCAGTTTGATGAACTTCGATAAAAATGTTTTGCATTTTTTTTAGAAATTTTGGATAACTGTAAGTCTTTTAAGTCTTGCAAATAAAAATTTATTAAGAATACACACCTTAGCAGGAGTATTAATAGCAAATTTCATTTTATTTAATAAGCAATTTTAAGGTAAATGAGCCTTAAGAAATTGCGTAGGTATGTAGTAAATAAAGTGTCTTTTTCGTGTTACAGAAAGTTTCTTTTGTTTTAGAATGTAGAAAAAATTGGAGATTCTAGAAAAATGATTAATTTACTATACAAAACATTTTTGAACTCTCTGTTGCTTAAATCAAGCATCAAACATTTCGTCAAAAAGCTTCAATGCCGATATGTCCAAAGCTATTTTACAAAATATAATAAATTTTTTTTATATGTATATAATATATGTATGTATATTAAAGCATTAACATTTTTAACAAATGAAAGAAAAAAACTTAAACAAAAAAAAAATATGGTGAATGTAGAATTTTATAAATTATTAAAGAACACATACTTTACATTTACAGAATATTGTTATAAATTTTACATTTCTTTCATAATCTTTAAATAAATGCAACAAATTTGTCATTATTGGGAAAGAAAACTGTGCGAACTAATTTTAATAGTCTGTGAATGTAAAGTACATATTTGAAAAATTCAAACCACATAAATTTATTTTACCTTCGCGTCCTCTGTCAGGTGCTAGCAGTTTAAAAATGTAAAAAACCCTATGAGTATTACTTTTTATATACATTTACTTAAATAAACTAGATTTTATAAAAAATTTTTGAGCCTTTTTTAATTAATAGTAAAATTATTAATTTCATGAAATCTGATAATGCTAGTATTTTTTTTTAAATAAAAATTTGGATAGGCAAATTATTTGCACCTCATATTCACTTTTTTTTAGTAATTTTACTACAATTAAGATTTTTAATTATTATTATAATGAAAATACTTACTTAAAGTTTTTGGAGTTAAGTAGACAGAAATAGCTGTGATATGATCATTTGCAGGATCTTTGTATAATTCTGTAACAAGCAAATCATTATCCTTCATTCGTAGAGGAAATTTTTGCATATCTAAAAATAAATGGAAATGATATTTGTTTTGAAAATTTGCTATGTACATTTAAGTACCAATGTAATAAATTGAGCCATTGTTACAGCCTAAAAGAAGAAATGAGCCTGCATTATCAAATGACAATATTGGGACAACATCCTGTATTTGCCAATGCTGTGTCATTGCATGCCAAACCCCAATTTTTCCTAAAGAAGATAAGGCCACCAATTGACTTCCAATGAAAAATAAATATTCAACACGAACATTTAAATTAAAAGTTCCTATTTCAGTTTTGTTTCCTGCTTCTTGTATAGCCCATAATCTAATTTGACTACCATAGGAAATTGCAACTAAAGCTGAACGAGTTTGTTCTACGTAAGTTGAAAGATTTACTTTTGCATTAATCGCTATTCTTTCAATGCTTACTTCAATATACGGCGAAGTAAAAACTAGTTGCCAACCAGAATCTTTTAACTTATAACAAGTTACAAAATGGTTGTAAGAGACAGTAATCCAATTGTGATGAGCCTTAATAATTTGTACTCGATATGGCTCGCTCCAGTTAGAAGAAACACTTGAACTAAATACTAAGCCAACATCATTTTTCACAAATTTATTTAAATCGGCAGAGGATTGTCTTGAATGACGTAAATCTAAAGAAGCTGTTCGTGAATGAGAATTTCCATTGGTTGTCCAAGGAGGGCGTATTTCTCGATTGTTTGTGCTTGAAGTTGATCTTAAGTCCCAGGAAGAATTGCGTGAGTGACCACTTCCTGACATATTCTGGTTTGAACTTGAATATTCTGGTACTCTAATCATAGATCCAGGCCTCACCATGCTATAATTTGAATTTTGTTGAATTTGATTTGAAGAAAAAGACGTCGATGGGTTTGAATTTTCATTTGTTGGAGTTGCATTTTGGTTACTTAGCTCATTAGGTGGAGAATTTGGAGTTGGAAGATATCCATAAAATAAAACATCACCGCATGAAGAATAATCAAGATCTTCACATAGCATTAACCTAAAATTATGAAGAATAAAAAATGATATATTCAAATTTATGTTCAGTATTTTGAAACCTTTTGATTAAAGGTGCAATACTGTAATATTCAGCTTCATGCCGCAAAGCCCTCAGATCACATTTACTTATGTCTATTTCTTTAGTACGTAAATAGTTTAATATAACTGAAATGAGTTAAAACTAAGCTATAAAATATGCATTTTTATGCACAACTCCAAATTTGGATGTGATTGTATTTAAAAAGCATAATATTTTATATTTCAAAATAGGTATATTATAAAAAATTTTTATTGAATTTAACTACCTGAAAATAAGTTTGGGTCTCTATCAATAAAAATTGCACCCGTTTCATCTCGTAGGGAAGATATTTTCCCATATAGTAATCCAGTAAAAAAAGTGTCAGGGATCCATGTCAAGGTTTGACGAGATGTAGAAAATCTGAAATTCGTATTTTATACAATTAAATACATCAAAACTGTCACATCCTCCTACCTTTGGCCCCCAACATTTAAATTGATTATTTCTCCCATATTTACTAAAATTCTTTAATTATTATTGAAAAATTATCATTATGAACAAAAAACACTTAACTTTCTAATTCTTCTACATGTTTCATGTACACATATGTACTAAATAATTAATATCTATATGTGTATTTATTATCTAGTTTATTTTGACATTTAGGTTTAAAAAATTACATTATAACAAGTGTTTTCGTTTTGATCTTGAATATGAACAGTCGAGCAACAGCAAGAGTCTGCTTGTTTCTTTAAATTAATATCCAAAACTTAATAGCTTATTCCACGAATACATAATATGATACATAAGCACAAATACATAAGTGTAATATATATATTATGTAATATTTGTAGGTTTCATTCGAGTTATGTTCCTCCTTGTAAGTGAGTGTGTTGTGGTTGATGTTTCGTCGATCTCAACTGGTATTGATCACATGGCCTTGTTCTCGCTTATTTCTCTTGGTCCGACTGTTCGATCGGTAGAGGTTTCGAATTTGTCAAAAGGGTTCCTTTCGGCCGTTTTGGCGGTGCTGTCCGTTGGATAGGCGGCTGGCTTCAGTTTTTTGCTCCGTTCCTGGTAGTTTTCAGCATGTGCATGTTGCTGTTCTCTGTTGAAATTATTGGTTCAGCTGTTGTGATTAGTGGGAATCGTGAATTTTAGAAGAGTTACGAATCGTGATAGAAAAAAAGTCAGTATGATGCTGCAGTGTATCAATTTTAACTCTTTGTTATTTGATTGTACCAACTGTATTAACTATATTAGATTTCTTAGATTTAGTTTTTCGAGGGACTTAAATTTGATATAGAACTCTTTTTGCTTGGTCGGTTTTCTCTTGTTAATATTATCAACGCAATTTTTCATCCACCCTAGCGAAGTACATTCTAAAAGTTTCTGCGTTCAAATCATTGATAACATAAGGTGTAAATAAATCTATTGCTGTTGCTGACATGCGATTACAAATATTTTGAGGAACGCTTCCAATTTTTTGACAGATTTGTTTGTTTGAACACACCCAAGCGGTCGACAGTATAATAACAACAAAAACGAGGAAGCCATTTTTAAAAAAAATAAAAGCGTCGCTTTTTAAAGCAAAATGTTTTTGTCTAAAATATACTAAATTTTTGTGTTTAATAATTCATGCTTGAAAATTTAATAATCTAAAGCAATTTTATGATACAGTGTATAAATTTTGTGATACATTAATAGTTTGTGATAAATATAACGTCAATTAAATAGATCCGAATATAACCTTTCATAAGAGCGCGCATAAACAAAAACAAATTGGTGTTGCAAAAACTACATTTATTAAAATTTACTTAAATATTTGAAGAGATTTAGCAATATGAAAAATATAGAACGTGATAATAAATCGGATATTATAAATAGTCTTCTACGTACTAATTTTGATATAAAGGATGAATCTTTGGACATTGATTTGTCAGTATGTGCAGCAATACCAGATAGTGGAACTGCTGGAATTCCTTTATGGTTAAGTGATATGGAAGAAACTGCTGATTATTTTAAAGCTACAACTAGTGAATCTATACCAGTGACTTTAGCAAATTGTTGCGAATCTAGTAATGAGTTGGAACCAGTACAAATAACAGATACCAAAAAAGATAGCTCCCATGAAATTATGGAAAAAATTTCTATTAAAAAAGAATCAGTGCATACAAATTTGTCCAATACAAAGATTAAGACAGAGCCTAACATAGACATTAATAAAAATAATGAAAATATATCTTTCCACATGCAAATGACCAATAATGAAATAAGTACCAAAAGTAACATAAATAGTTCTCCTAAGTCACAAGGAGAGCGTCGAAACATTTTAATGGATTGTCCAGACTGTGGAAAATCGTGAGTATCTAAAGAAAATTTGTATGTTTATAGGTATATTTTATGAAACTGTTGTTCAAACTTTTATAGATTAAAATTAGGAAGTATGTGGATGCACAGAAAAATACATAATACAAATAGTAAACGATATAACTGTGATATTTGTGGCCAAAAGTTTGTACAAAAAGTTAACTTAACTAACCATTTAAAATTACATAATGCCGAAAAATCTTTTGAATGTCCAGAATGTCAGAAAACGTAAGATATTTAAAGTATGTAGTTATTATAAGAAAATTGCAAATGAAATTTTTTTTTTAGTTTTCCAGAACGATCTCATATGATTCGCCACCAAAAATATCACAGTGATTTACGTCCATACAAATGTGAAAAGTGTGGCAAAATGTACAAAACTGAAAGGTGTCTTAAAGTTCATAGCCTAGTGCATTTGGATAAACGACCATTCGTGTGCAGTGTATGTAATAAAAGTTTTCTTTCAAATTCGAAGCTAAAACAACATTCTAACATCCATACTGGTAAAATCTAACACAAGCAAATACAAACAATTTTATTTAATAATATTATTTTTAGGTGAACGTCCATACAAATGCAAGTATTGTTCGAGAGATTTTACAAATTTTCCTAATTGGTTAAAACACACGAGACGCCGTCATAATGTAGATCACAAGACCGGCGAAGTATTACAAAAAATTCCATCATATTGCTCAAAGCAAAAAAAAAGTAAACAACCTATAGAACAAACTCAAAAGATTGATCAGCCTACTAAAGAATTGTTAAACGCAATTCAAATTAAAAGAGAACCCTCTGAAAATAACGTTCCTATATTATTCTCAGAAAAAAAGAAAATTTCGAAAATTTTTAAGGAGGAAGTTAAAGATGATATTAAAGTTAATATTAACGATTTACATAGTTTGTCATTGACAAGTGCTGAGGATTTAATAATGGAGCAAGCTCTGGAATTGGAGGAAGCTGGTTATTTTAATAACAACAGACAATTAAGTCAAATCTCCTTGCAAAAGAGGGCAAATTTTCTGGATCCAGGTAAAAATCTATCAATTGTAATGTTGATATATAACTATATGAATCATTTTTTTTTTAGATAATCGCCTTTTTGAAGCGTTATATTCTTCTGAAAATTCCCCGTTATCCTCTCCTTCGTCGACTGGGGATTGTAAACCACTGTTGATACCGATTTTACCGCAATCTTCAACATTACCACCAATAACTGCCGTATCATCAAACAATTATTTTATTACAACAAATCTAGCACAAAATGGAAACAACGCCATATCCCACCAAATCCTTCCGTCCATGGTGGAGGCTTTTTTAGGATTTCAAAAAATACAATCATCTGACATGTAATTATCATAAATAACTTGTAATTATTGATGATGAACTTAATTTTGTATAAAAAATAAGACAACGGTGATCTTTTATATAAAGATTAAGTTTAATTTTATGTATATTATTGAAAAATAATCTTTAAAATTTTGCAAGTCGAAGTCATGGAAAATTGAAGAGTAACGATTTATGATAATTTTATGGTTTTTATTGAAATTTCAAAAATTTCAGAATTATTGTTTTGTACTTTTAAATACATACTTATTAATTTTTCCTTAAAATTGCTTTTAAATTAAAAGAGGTAATAAATAAAAATAAAATTTGAATATATGCATTCGTTAAGAAGGTGTTTAGGTCACAATCGAATATAAAACTTGGCGAATAAGTGTTTCATTTTGATTATAAAATTCAATAACCTTGCAGTAATATAAATTCCTAGACATGACTTAGACTAGTTTGATCTCGTTAAAGATTATTAAAATATTTGTTAACAAAACTATGTTATTAAGATATGTTTTGAAGTTTAAGTACATTCATTGACTCGCAAAATAATTTTAGTATTAAGGATAAAGTTGTGTAGGTAAGACAAAATATAATATGAATATGGGTACATAAGTTCTTTTGTGCTTTTAAAATATTTTTAGAAAACAACCATAGAAAAACCATAACTTCAATTGTTGCATAAAATGTGAATACTTTATCATAATTCTTTCAAAACATATTTATTTCCTTAAAAAAAAAAAAAGAGTTGTTTTTTCCAACATTTTTCAATAACGAAAAACCTTGAAACCTGGAAAGTAAATTCCAGAATTTAAAAAAGTACATAAATATTGTATATAAAATTTGATAATTTTATAATTATATCAACATGAGTTAAAGGTTGTATTTTCGGAGTCAAATTTTAAAAAATTTTTTAAATAAAGTATTTTTCTTTGAATTAAGTTCAAAAAAATGTTTTAGAAAGTAAAAGCAAAAATTTAAAAGCACAAAAATTAAAAAATCTTGATATGAACCTAAAATTATTAAAATGTGATCACAAAAAAATATTTAACTTTTCTTAAAAATATTGCTACTTGAAAACATTATTATATTATTAAGAAATTCAAAATACATTAAAAATTACAAAATGAACATGCGTACATATAAAGTATATGTATATAAATATATATTTTTCAATATCATTATTTTATTTTTAAATATAAATAAGTTAATAAGTAGTTTTTCATAGAAATAAATCCCAAATAATTGTTCATATGAAATTTATTTAAAAAAAAGAAAAATAAAAGTGATTTAAATTCATAAGGATCAATACGGATACAGAGATGATAAAATTTTATTGTGTTATTAAAGTAATACGTATTATATTTGTAGTTTATAAATATAAATATAAAAGAAAAACAAACACACTTTGTGATTAAATTCTTTTCTCATAAAATAGAATTAAAAATTCCTAATTCAGCAAGACTGAAAAATTTTCATATTTTTGTAATCAATCGAAATATAAAATAAAATTGAGTAAATTAATATTTATTTTTTTTATTTTGTTGCTCTTTCGAACATGAAAACGATTCACAAAGGTTTGTATGATATACATGTAAAATTAGTTGGTAAGTCCAGCTAGATATATAAAATGCCGAAGTTACATATTAATCTCTCCCATAAAAACAAGAATATTCGAAAAAATATTTTACTATATGCTTTAAAAATATTTTTAAAAAGTTAGAGAAAGGGACATTACTCCTATTCTCATTTCTATCGCAGCACTAAGTTCATAGACAATTACGAATTTCATATTCTTAATTCTAATTCGCAGGAGTTCGTAATCCTACGAATGGAATTGAGGAAAAGTTTCACCTTTGCGGCTTGATAGATATCGTATAGGGCATTAAATTCAGAATAATTGTTAAAATCTTACGACGTAGTGTAGTTGGCAGAAATCTAGAAATGGAATTAAGAATAGGGTTCCATATCTATATAGAAAAACTACGAATATTGAGATAATACAAATCTGCAAAAGTTATTTATATATTAAGTTTTGCAAGTGATCTGCAATTATTCAAAAAAAAAATTAAAACTTAAATTAGACCTTTAATTGCATATCTGAATCACCGAAAATCCCCCTAATAATGTGGTATTTAAAAGATTCATCCTTACATCAATGAAGACACATAGTACATATACCATAAAACATGATAGTGCCATTTTCACAAAGTTCAAAAGCATCTAAAGGATATTTCATTTTAAATGATGTACAAAAATTTTAACAAATGAATTGTTTTTGAAAATTTTTTTTCTATATATTTCTTTTTTTTTCATTTTTCTTTTTGTTTTTTTTTTTTTTAAATAAAAAGTTAGTTTACTAATATAATTAAACATGAAGTACAAAAAATTTCAAAAGTACATATGGTTTTTGTTTACAAATTTATTCTTCTTGTTTTTTTTTTCTTTTATTTTATTATATTTAAATTTAAATTTGAAACAAGGAAAAGCAAAATATATTTAAATGAAATTAAAATAAAAAAAAACAATAAATAGAGTTTTTTTTATTACAAAGTATAAAGGATAAACAAGAATAAGTGGAAAGTAACTAACTCCATAAACTTACAAAAGAAAACAAAATTTATTGTAGAGGAATTTAAAATGTTAGGTTGTCTACCAAAATGCAAATCTAACGTCAATTTGAGTTATTCAATAATCGAAATTGTGCTGCTGAATAAATCAAATCGACGTTAGATCTGCATTTTGGTAAATGCCATTAGATATTTTAAAATATTTTCTTTAATAAATCTTTGTGTTCAAAAAAATTCTTATTCTTTTTTACCGTCGTATTTTACAAATTATTACGTATATTGTTATATGAATGTTATGTTACGTTCTTACATACATGTGTGTTATTTTTTAATTTTTAATAATACACCCATATACTCTTTGACTTATTATTTAAGGTGACGAAATATTATAAAAAAAATATATATGGAGATTTTTAGTACAGAATTTCAATTTTCGAACTAATTTTATTCTGAAAACTAGAAAATTTTTTATCACGTAATACATCTTAGAGAATATGGATGAACTAGAGTAAATATCAAGAACTCTTTATAAATTACTTTGGATATAATCAAAAATCATGAAAAATATGTAGACATTATAAAAACTAACAAAAAAAAATAATTAAAAAATATTGGATTAAAAATTTTGCGCATCGTACGGATTACATTCATATACAATATAACGAATTAAGAAAAAAATCACCCTACTTAATGCATTTTAGAAAAATTAAACTAATATATTATTATACTTCTTGTGCGCGAATCCGAAATATTGAAATTGCATTAAGTAGGAACATTCTTTCGTTATGTGACAGGATTAAAAAATATTTTAAATTATGTAGATACAATGAGTTATAATTTGTATGTAATTACCTAGTTTTACAATAAAATTTTTAAATAATTTAAATTAAACAAAGAGTTAAAAAACAGATATTATATAAAATTAGATCAAGTTTATAAAAGTGTTTTGGGTATATGAAATTTGGCTTACAATTAATTTATATTTCAAATTACTTACAAAAATAAACATTTACTTTTTTCAACAAATTATTGATTTGTAATTTCAAATTAAATACAAATAGGTTTTGTAAATTTTTTCTTTATAATGTATATCTTAGTCGATATTGCAGGTAATAAAAGCAGTAACATTTAATATTGTCTACAGATATATTTATGTTACATTTAGTAACATTGTAATTGATAATACAAAAAACAAATGTCGCGTAAATAATAATGTTAATTGCTTGTCACAATTTATAAAACTTCAAAAAATTTTAAATTTTTATAAAATTACAAACTATTTATAAAAATTTTTAGCATTTTTGTAACCAAAAAATTTAAACTGCTGGTTTTGTTTTTTGCACAAAAAGGGAAATATTAAAAAGAATAAGTTAATTTTTATTTAATAAATTAAAATTTAGGTAAAATATTAAATTCAAATTATCAAAAATTAATTTTTGCTGAAGTAGTTGCGAATCGGTTGCATGCAAAAGTTGTATACGAAATGGTAAATTCTTAAACGTCAAATTTTACAAAATCTGAGTTGTCTGAGTTTACGACTCTACTGCGTTTTTACTTTCAGTCAAAGTTTAAGTTCTTAAACGTTTAAAGAAAGTCAATTAAGCGTCAAAATTGTAGATTTTTTTTTTACATGCAGACAGTCTGACGTATTAATTCAGTAAATAAATTTGATGTATTGAGTGACTATCATTACGTTAAAAATAATATAAAAAATATTTTTTTTGTTAATTTTTAATATGTAAGTATAAAATTATTTTAAATCTAAAAAAAATTTTTTTTTGTTTTGACGTTTACGGATGATCAAAATTCAAAGTCAATTACGGGTAAAAAGTTTACTACATTTCTGTCCGTAGAAGTTTTATACGTCAGGCAGTTTGCAGACTGAAAACAAAATTGTAAATTGTTGATGCCGTTTGGTAACCGTCAGATACAAGTGTTGTCAACAGGCATTTGCGATTATTGATTACACCTTGAAACTGTTGGTTTTGTATCTTTGTAATACTTTTTTACCCAAAACAACTTTTAAAAACAATTAAATGAATTAAACTGGTTTTGTTTTAATTAAACAAAGTATCTCACTACCGGGTTTTTGTAAATTTTTTTAAATTTTTAGGTAAACAATAATTACAATTAAGAAAAATATCATTTGATCTCAGATAAAATTATTTATTTCTAATTTTAAATTATTTTTGAAATTTTTCAGTTTCTATTTTTGTAAAAAACGACGATATCAAATAAGTGAAATTACAGAAAAAAGTTACTAAAATTTAGTAATTTTAAACCAAAAAAATTAAAATAACTAATATTATTATTTTTAAAGGTATTTGGATTATTTTATATATTTCACTAATTTTTTAATTATTTTTTTTTTTAATTTTTTTTTCATTTATTGTTTTAATTGGTTTTTTTTTTTTTTCAAAATATTTTTTGTTGACGCGAAATAATTATATAGGTATATTTATGTATATGTATATATATATACAAATATATATATTTATATATGTATACACATTCATAAGGGATGAATACTATATATAGATATATAGAATATATGCATATACATACATACATCAAAATTAATTATTTTATATAATGATTTAGCAAATGTTTAACATCTACTCTTTTTAATTAAAGATATTTTATTAATTTTTGTATTTTTTTCTTTTTAAATATATTATTATCTTCATACTTTTGTTCTTTTTAGTTTAAAATTGTTTACATCGAGCTCTTTTTTTTTTAATCTTTAAATTGTTTTCTATTAATTTTAATTTAGTATTAAAAATGTTTTTTTTTTGTTATTTTATTTTTTTTTTTACCTATTTTATTTATATTTTTATATAATTATATATTTTGTATTATTTTTTAGTTTTTATTTCTTGGTTATATAGATAATAATATATAACGTAAAATTATACATTATATATAATATACATTACACACGTAATTACAAACACAAGAATACAACTGTCATGACTGAATTTATATGATAAAATAATAATTAATCTTATATAATTTTAAGTTAATATTTTTATATTTTTTCTATTTTATATATACATATATATATATATACTATGTACATATGTAATATACATATATGTATAAATTTAAAATGGAGACAAAAAATCATAAAACCAATATATATTATCAAATAGGTTATTTTATATATTTTATACATATATCTATATGCATACATACATATAAACACAAATTTAAAACATATATATATATATATATATATATATATATATTCATATAATATATTATCATATATATAATATATATGTATATATATATATATTTTTTATATATATACATATAGTATGTAAATGTACGTTAGGTAATATATATTTTGTACGACTACTTATATATATACAAAAGACTGCTTGACTTCCGAAATACAGTAATATGGTATTAATACACAATTCGGCTTATTTGATGAAATTTGTGAATTGCTCAATTGGGTAGTAATACCGTATTATTGCGTTTCCGGAGTCAGCGTAGCTTACAGTTTCTGATTGGATTTTTTTTTTGTTATGTAATTCGCATATTCTTTTTTGTTTTGCAATATTATTGTTATTATATTGAAATTATTGAAAAAATGTAAACAAAAATCAACATTATTAAACAATTTTTATTTATTTATTTATTTATTTTTGTATTATTTCTGGTGTGTGTTTTAAATAATTTAACATGTTTTTTTGTTTGTTTTTAAACAACTAGATTTTTTGCTTGGTTTTATTTGAGAAACAACATTTTAATACTATATTGATACATATATTAATACATATGCATATATGCTGACATCCAAATCATCTCAAAACAAAGTTTTATTACAGTTTATAGACCGCTCTAATACAAATTTATATTACAAATTTATGTAAACAATACATTGTAAAAAATATTCAAAGTTTACTTTTATGTTTTGGATCACTATTTTATAAAAAAAATTTTATATTTGAAATTTATGAAAAATTTACAAAAAAAAATTTAAATTTCATATGTATAAAAATGTTCAGCTGTTAGATTTAAATTTTCAATGCATACTATAATCTTTTGAAAGTTTAAGTGAAGTATACTGAAATTTTATTTTTAGATGCAGTTTGTTTTATTCTTACTTTTATTTGGCGTTTATTAAACATTTTGGGTCAGTTGACATTGTAAAAATTTTTCAGTTTACAATTTGGATCATAAAATTTTGTAAAGTTTGTGTTTTACTTGCAATTTGGATGTCACAGATGCATTTATATAATATATAATATAATATTGTGGTTGAATATTTTTTTTTATTATATATGTATGTTTTTGTTTCTTGATTTTTAAATTTCAAACAATTTTTTTTAAGTTTATTTTAGTTAATTTTTTATTTAAATTTACACAGACACAACAAATCATTGCTCTGAATACTGAAAATAAAAGAAAACATAATTTAATTTTAGTAGAAAATACAAAAAATGAGGTGAGAAAACGGACAAAACATTAAACATTTGCTTTGTTAGTATTGTTTTAAAATCACAAAAGCAAAAGAAAAAATGTTTAATAAAAAATCTTCTGTATTAAATATTTAAAAAAAAAAAACATCAAAAAAATGTAATATGAATATATGTAAAAAAGTTTTTAGCAATTGTTAATTTTATTTATTAAATAGTGAATTAGACTAATTTCGTTTAGCCGGAACTTCTTTATTATAAACATGAACTTGATTTTAATTCACATTTTCAACAGCTTAACATAGACCTATTCTAAAAATCAAGTTCAATTTCAGAGAACTTTAAAAATTTATGGTTTAAATATAAAGTTTTCGAGTTAAATTATTTTAAAGCTTAAATAAAACTGCGTAAGGACGAGTTGGTTATACTATTTATCTAATTCGAAAAATAATATTTTGCAATTTAGAAATTTTTTCAAAGTTGGCATAGGGGTGATTTTAAAGAGTTAAAAACTATATTATATTTTAGAATTCTCACTTTGTTAAGTTACCTTAAATAGTTTTTTTTTTATTTATTTTAAAATTTTAAGGATCCATGACTATAGTAATAAGACGATATAGTCAATAGTTTAATTATGTGGGAAACATAACAAAACGCTATTATTAACAATATGTTTATTATCGAATTTTATAAAAGAAAAAATGATACTTGATTCCTAGTGAATTTAAATTTAAATTTTTTTTTTTAATCAAAAAGAATTCGTAAATTAAGAATTCAAACCTGTTTTTATAATTATTAATCAACAAAAATACAATAGTCACTTTCGGTATCAATATTAAATAAAATCATATTTTTATTAGAAAGAAAAGTTTAATATTTTAATAATAAAAAGAAAAAAAAGGATAAATAAATTTCCCCTATTAGGCAAAAATTCTAATCAAATCCTAATATACGCATTTGTATATTAATGAATATTTTACATAAGTAAGCAAATGTTTTTATTATAATGTGCAATTAAAAAAAATGTTTCGTACTTCAACCTGTTCTTCCAAATCCGGCCAAAGCTCCTTAAATGTTTTTTCAATAATGCCATATCTAAAAATAAAATTTTGTATAAGAAAATCAAAAACAAAAAAGTGACTTTATTACTTTGATTGTAATCCACCACCAGGAGGTAAGCCAGGAATATCTTTTAATTGCAAAGCTCCCAATAAATCGTGAAACTCTTTTATATCACTTGATCTATATTCTTCTGCAATATGAATATGAAAATGAATCAAAATATTAAAAATTTTTGTAGTTCAAACTTAAAAAAAAAAATTTAATTACAAATAAAAAATATTATATAAAACAAAAAAGTTATCTATTTTAATTTTGCATGCAATAACAGGGAAAGAAAATTCTAAAACTTTTCTATTCTGTTTTTTGTAATGCGAAATTGTTTTTAAATTCAGTAAAATTTTGCATAAAAATTGCAATAAAATTATTCTAAATAAACATAGAATTAGATAAAGTAACGAATTTTATTTTATTAGTTTACATCCAAATTATATTTTGAGACCACGAATATACTATTAATATACTAAAATGTTACAAAGAAACATTAAAGATCAAACGAATATGAGTTGGAAAAAGTAATTTTGCATATTTATTAAAAAAACTCTAACAACAAGTTAGTTCCATTTAAAAACATAAAACTAAACAATTTAATTTAATTTTCACTTCAATTTAAATTCCTAAATGTGCATGATTTATATTTTCTTGTGAGTAAAGATATGGACATACATATATCAATGGAAATTCTAAAAAAAATTGGCTTAATTTCAATATTTTTGTTTGAACGTACCTTATGCTCACCGTTGACGAATTTAATTCTTGCAATATTCAATCTATTTTATTATAAATAATTAATAATAAGAATCGTACTTATTAAAATACCTTGCTAATTAATAAAATTTTCAATAAGTTTATAATTAAAAAATATATTTAGTTCAATTTTCAATCATATATTTTTTTATAAAATAAATAAAAATAATATTTTGTCAAAAATTAGACATTCATTATATTTCCTCAAAGTGTGAGCATAAGGTTTTTTTTAAATACATATACGCTTTTCTCAATTTTCAAAATAAATTTAAAATTAATTTGTAAAATTTTTTTTCCAATTTTAATAAAATTATCTTTAATATTTAAAAAAAATTATAAAAACATGTTATAAAAATAAAAACTAATATTTTGCTTTTTTTATTGCCGGGCATTTTGCTTTTAATTTAGAATTCTTTATTTACTGGACATTTTTCAAGCTAGGCAAATTAGCGTGAAAGGTTTTTTGACTTGATTTGCTATACAATTCAAATATTACAAAGAGAAATACACATATAAAACGTATACTAGGCGTGAATCAAAGAAAATTACTTCAGCTTCAGCTTTATTTTATTAAAAAAATTCGAAAATTTACTTTCAATGTGTTGAAATTAAAAAACAAAACATATACAAATTTTCTTAGATTTTTCTTAGATAAAGAGAATGTTTGGGTCAGCTCACACAACAGTTCAGCTGAAGTCAATAAAAAAAAATTAAACTAATAATTTTGGGAACAAAAATAATTGTTAAGAGCTGATGTGTTTTAATTAAATTAAGATTGAGATAGTTTTTGTTTATCTCATATGTTTTTTCAAAAAAAACGCAAATATTTCCCTCAAAAAACAAATATATATTTTTGTCTTGCTAGAATCAATTTTAATACATACTGATATACATACATATATGTAAGTATATTCTCATTATTACTTTTTATATAAATATATTTCTTTTCAATATTATGTATTTCTTTCATTTTATTTGGCAATATTGCAATAACTACCGCAAGCTGATAAAGCAATCAGCTTTAATTAATGCAAAATTTTTTTTGTTGTAATACATACTTTTATAATTATTTCTAAAAAATTGCACATGTATTTATTTTCTACTTTTAAGAGAAGTCTTCCATTAAAAATATTTGGCAAATTAGAATTACTTTTTAAAAAATGTATGAAACTCTCACAAATTGTAAAATTGACACCTAAGCTAGTAATATCATTGATAAATTTTGAACCAATTTCAAATAATTGTTTACTTTTATACAATGAAATTCCTTCAACGTAATGAATTAACATGTAATCTTTAATTCAATTTTGGATCATCTAAGGCAACACAAAATTTGCTTTCTAATCTTAATAATTTTTGGCCTCAATAGCTTGGTAAATACATAAAGTTCCAACCATAAAACTAAAATGAATTGATTATCAACAATTGATGTCGAAATATTTTTAATAATAATTTAATTTAAATTTGTTGAAAACTGTTTATCTATATACATATGTACATATATATTAATATTTTTTCGATACTTAATTTTTTTTCAATGCGATTTTAATAATTGTCAATTTTTTATTCAAATTTAACTGCCAGGTCACATTAATGTATGTGTTTTACAACAATAATGTATAAAAATATTTCAATATTTTATTACATTTCGGTTAAATGAGACTTTGTTTTTCTTAAAGTTGTAAGCAACCCCAAGATGTGAACATTTTTTTTAAGTTTGATAATAGGGATAGTTATTTTCGTATCAATTATTAATTCTTACATCAATATTAAACTTAATCGTAAATAAAATATAAATTTGTTTTTATAGACATATACGTTTAAAGCAACCTCTTATAATATTTTCAATATGTTGTTCCAGTCGTTTGTCCTCCTCAATTGCTTCAGGAGTAGGTTTTGGTGCTCCGGGAAAAGCTATGATAATTATACTCATATTATCTCGGCTACCCTGTAAGTATATTGAAAAAAAGAAATCGAAATGTGTTATTTCAAAACAAACAAAACAAGTTGTTTTATGTATTTTTTTTTGCAACTTTATAAAAGTATTCTAATTTATACTACAGTAAATTTAGGCTTAGGAAATAAATATGTGGAAATAATGAAACATACACATAAAATAGGCATTGGAATTAAAATACACATGAAATGAGAATATTGAATGTAAATATAATTAAATGTTACCTACATACATATACACATACATATATGATTCAATGGGTAATTTTAATACAGAATATAAAAATTACCGATTGAATTATCGGATTTCCAAAATTGTTCAAATTCTAAAATCTTTAAGTAGCCCTTATATGTATGTATATGCCTTCATTATGTATATATAAATATTTTTTGCTTAAATAATCCAAATATGTATGTATGTTACTTACATAAATGTATAAATATAAATTTTTGTATTTAAAAAAAAAAAAATCTTTTGGGGTCGATTTTTGCAATTTATTTTTTTTTTTCTTTACCTTATTCAAACATGTGTCAATTACTTGATTTGAAATATTTTCCAAATCTTGCGTAATTCTTAGCCTCGAATGTATAAAACTGCAAACAGCCTCATTACTCATAACGTCCCATATGCCGTCACAGGCTAAAACTAGAAACTCATCCGTAGTTTGTCGACTTTGACAAAATATTTCTGGTTCAGGGGAAACTAATTGCTCACATTGCCCTTTTTCTTTGACATTTTTGAAATCATAATCCCCCAAAGCCCTTGATACAGCTAAACTACCATTTATACGTTGAATCATAACGCTACCTCCAGCGTTATGGATTCGTTCCTTTTCCTCTGGTAAAACTGGCTTATGATCTTGTGTTGCAAGAACTGGCTCGCCATTTCGGCAAAGAACAGCCCGAGAATCACCACAGTTTGCAATGTAGAGATGATCGCGCGATATAAATGTGCACACAGCAGTAGTTCCACCACATTTCTCTGTATCTGATGTTAATTCTGGTAGAATACGCATTGTTTCATCCAAATGTAAAAATCCTGTCCGTATACCTTTGACATATTCTCCAGTTTTAAATTCTTCTGTATTTATTATACATTCTAGTAAATGTTTCGCACTAAAAATCGTACAAAATACGCAATTATTGAAAATTTATTATTAATCGGTGCTTTTTTTTTAAAACTTACCAATGCTCGGAAACTTTGCATCCAGCGTGACCATCGAAAACTGCAAAGAAACTCCATTCATCTAAACTTTCGCTTAAACCTGTTTTAGCATAATGAGCATCTTCCATTTCACAACGCCATCCTTGCATTGAAGCTACACCGTAGGTTAGCCCATTACCTTCCCCATGTTCATTATATTTATCTATTTTCGGTTTATCCAGAAATCCACCCATATTTTTTATTCATAATTTTTTATTAAATCAATTCATAAATTTGAAATATTTAAATTTAGGGTTATGTCACTCTGATTTTTGGTTTCTTTTATATTTGCAGTTATATATGTAAATATTATTAATGAGGTAAATACAAAATTTTTACTCTGATTACAGATTTTTTTATTATAATCAGCAGCTAACCTGTTTTTAAACAAATGTGAAAATATAATTTTTTCATTAAATATTATTTTTAGCAGTATATTGTATTAAAATTACAAATTTATTAATCCTATTTTATAAAACCGCAGTTTTGGACACAAAACGCCCTTTTCACAGCTACATTTAGATGGGTTATATTTCAAGCACAAAACAACAAATTTAACTTTATATTTTCTTTTATTTTATTAGATGAGCAATCTAATTTTCACACAAACAAAAAATTTCAATGCTTTAAAATTGAAGGAAATGTAACTCATTAAACACTTTACAAATAAATATAGGGAAATCTTACTGAAAATATTAAATACCTGTTTAAAAACTGAGTAATTATTTTTCAGTTCGTTTAAAAAAAAAAAACAATCATTTTCTAAGATTTAACCCAAAAAATTTCAAATTTATTTTTTTTGTCAATAGTTAATAATTTTTACTTGTGAATCAACTTACAAAAATTTCATTAACTTTTTGAAAGAAGGCTAAAATAAATCTTACCCAATAAGGTGATGTTTGTTAATACTTAAAATCAGAGTTCATTTTATTTGACCATTTGGTTTTATTTAGTGAATTAATAAAACGCAAATTAAAAGTCTTACATGATTAATATTGAACAAATCTGAGTTTACAAAATCACGGATATGCTCATAATTAAGTAATGATGTAATGTTTTATTTTGCATTTTGACATTTTATTGATGCAATTAATTATTCGATGAAATTAAAGAAAAATTAAGCCACATAAAAACATAGAAACATTGTTCTTGAGAACTTAAAAAACCTTCCTTTAAAGATTCTCAGATTGAAAATAAGCGTTGACACAGTTTATTTAGATATGATAAGCAACCACTTTTTAAAGAAGATTTTATGCAAATATATATACATATATAAATATATGCATATTTGTACAACAAATATAACCATATAAATTTTTTAGGCATATAGTTATATGCATGCGTATTTACATACATATGTATGTGATTTATATCTCTATCCTACATCTTTACCATGTAAAATTTTGTGTATTAAAGGTGGGTATAGATATTTTTCAATGAAAAAATAAAGTCTAAATATTTCGAAATGAGATATAATTAATCGTTTTTAATATTTCTAAGTTACTTACACAATATATTATAGGATCATAGCTGCACAAGCAATTTTCTTAAGATCACACGGAAATTGATGGGTTACAAAATCTTTAAAGTAAAACTTTTCACACACTTTTATTTTCTTGTGCAAACTGCAATAATTTGTACATTTACCTTCAATCAACTACAAAAATTTATTTTGGCTAAAAAAAAATATATTAAGTTGCAACAATTTCGAAAGAAAATTATTATCAATAAAGGTTTTTCCTCTCGTAGTTAAAAATTTTATTCCTTTTTGACAATCCAAAAATTTGGTGGTCAAGCTGAATTTGACGTTTCTGGCAAGTTTGAAAAACAAGTGCTGCCGTTCGAGTTAAAATTTTGATTAATTTCTTAACATTAAGTTAATTTGGCTTCTTCATTAAAAACAAACAAGAAAAATTTTGAAAAGACGAAATTTGAACATTATAACATTGTAACTACAAAAAACTTGAAAAAGTTAGATATTGAGAATATAAAATGAGAAACAAATATAAAAAATGATAAGAGTTCTAACTTTATGTTAGAAATTTATGTAAATTTATTTGTTTAAAATATTTCTTAACCATATTTGCAAACCGTTTTTAGCAACACTTTGTATGTTCAAAAATATAAAAGGTCTGTTTCAAAACTTTATAAAATTTTTGCATGTTTTCATTTTCTCAATGCTTACAGTTTTTTTTAAGTTTTGTAAAGAAATATTTATTATTTTAAAAACTTAAAATCTTACAGCTGTCGAAACTTATGTCAAAAAGTTTTATTTTAAAAAAAAATTCAACATTTTCATCATCCAGTAATTTTTTTTCAAAACAAAGAACAGTTAAAAAGAAAATAAAATAAACAAAATGGATTCGCAAATGGTTTTTTTAAGTTTCATACTTTTCAATCCAAAATCAATATTTTCGGTTTTTGGTATAACCAAGAAATATATCAAAACTTTTTATGTGTACTTTTTTTAAACTTTTTATCTGGTTTATTTATTTTAAAATGAGAATTTTTTTCTTTTTGCGAAAAATTACGTCTCTTTTTATTGGTTCTCTTTTTAAAATTTTTGTATTCTTAGATCCATGAGTCAAATAATTTTACAAACAAACCGTAACTTCAGTAATGCCTCATAAAAAGTTTAAGTACGATATTAATACGGTTGTAGTACCGTCTCAGAGCTTTCAATATCTTTATATTTAAAAAAAAAAGTGCTAAAGCTTTTGATACATTTTGGAATACAATTTTTACAATATTAATACATATTTTGACGTTTGTTTGTTTGAAAATTCTGTGCAAATGCTAATTTTTAACAAACGTTACCACATCGTTAAAAACATGGCACTTTTTACTGTATTTTAGAAAAAAACTCAATAACTAGCACTCCATTGCTGAAAATATATGCTGGTTTATTTAATTGGTTAGTTCTGGCAACGTTTATATGACATTTATTAGAAAAGCGTACTGAATTTTTTCGATACCCGATTTACTTTTATTTTACGTATCCACTACGTATAGAACGTATTTTGGAAAAGTGTACAATGTCAAGAGCTTTTACTAAACTTTTTGGCATTTGATATTTCGTAAAGTTTAAGTCGTAAGCGCATTATTGAAGTCACGGAAAATATACATAATCTTTCAAAATTGAAAGTAACTAAACTTCATAACAAACAATAAACAGCAAAATCATTGCTAGCTATTGAACAGATCTTTTTTTTAAACAAAAATAATGACAATTCAGCTTAACTTTTGTTTTTGTTCATTTATTTGTTGATAAAAATAACATGTGGTAGCTGCTAGGACTTATACATAGTTTATTATTTATTCAAATAAAAAAATATTCAGTTTAAATATTTGTAAATATGAAGTTTTTAAAAAAAAAGAATTATAAAAGGAGAGGAAAAAGTTCCTTAAGTAAGAAAAGTAAGAAGCAGAAAAAACTAGAAAAAGATGCTTTTGACGAGAAAAGGAAAAAATTTAAATTTATCCAAAGAAGTAAAGAATCTGAAGAAACACAAAGACGACAAAAACTTGTGGAAGATAAATATAGACGAAATATGTCTAACAATTTTCTTACTGAAATCGATAATGATTTTCAGCAGGAAGAAGAAAATCCATATGAAAAACTATTGTCAGTACTTCCACAAAACAGTAAAGGTAAGTAGTACCTATTTGTTTCAAACATAAAGTTTGGATTTTATTTTTAAAATTTTCAGAAAAGGCTAGCGAAAAAGCAATTGAAAGTTCGTCGGAAGATGAAACCGACAGTGATCAAGAAATTTCGGGGAGTGCTATCATAGAGGACCAGCAGAGCATGTCGGAAAGTCAAGATGAAGAGGAAGATGAATATAATGGAGAAAATGAAGATGGAAGTGAAAAAGGAAACGAAGATGAAAAAGATGTCGATGAAAATACAGATGAAGATGTAAGTGAAGGTGAAAATATACATGAATATGGACATAGAGATGAAGATGAAAATGTAGATGAAGACGAAGCTGGAGATAAGATTTTGCAGTGTGATATTCCTTATGACAAAATCACAGAAATTGGTCAATATGTGAGAAGTAGGTCTGAAGAAAAAAGAGAAAACGAAGCAAAGGGCGACGATGAAAGTGATTCAGAAAGTGGATCTTCGTTTGATGGCGACTCTAATGAATATGAGCAAGATCCCTTTGGCATTCATTTAGACAGAGAATTGTCACAAAATCATATTGAAAATTTATTACAAAAACCGCCCAAAGTTAAAGTTTATAATAGAACTTGGAATATATTAGGAAATTTAAAAATAGAGATCTCAGATTCTGGTAGACTTCAAAGTAAAAAAATGTCACACAATAAATCTAAAAAAGTAAAACTATTGTGTGATGAAGAAGATTTTGCCAGTGAAGGAACAGTTCCGACGTTAATTAAATTTTCTACCTTGGATATATGTGATTACCATGTAAAGAATCAGTTAGTTTCAAACATCATTGAATCTAAATTAGATCAACCAGTTTTGTCAGAATTTCAATGTGAATTGTTTTCTATTCTCAATAATTATCAAGATTTGTACTTTCCCCAAAGAAATTTTGATAACGCTGAAGAAATTAGATTTGTATATTGCCTCCATGTTTTAAATCATATGTTAAAGACAAGATCTAGAATTATTCATCATAACGCTAAGATAGCCTCTGAAAAGTTGAAAACCATTTTACCAGATTCATATAGAGATCAGGGTCTAATAAGACCTAAAATTTTAATAATATTACCGTTTAAAAGTTCTGCATTCAAAACTTTAGAAGTCTTAATACAAATATTATTTGGCAATAAAGCAGGTTAAACATTCACGTACAATATTTATAGTGCTTAATTTACAATATGTAATTTATTTATTTTTTAGAAACAGCTAAGAAAGATGGTAGTGTTAGAAATTACAAACGCTTTTTAGAAGAATTTACAGGCGAAACGATAAAATTTCCTAAAACTAAACCAAAACCTATAGATTATGAAATGACTTTTGCAGGAAATTCAGATGATTCTTTTCGATTAGGAATTTCATTAACTAAAAAGTGTATGAAGTTATATCAAGATTTTTACTCTTCAGATATTATTTTAGCTTCACCTTTGGGTCTTCGAATGATTGTGGGAGCTCCAGGTGATCTCGAACGCGAATTTGATTTCCTTAATTCAATAGAGATTTTAATCTTTGATCAAACAGAAATATTTTTGGCACAAAATTGGGATCATGTAATACATGTTTTAGAACATTTACACTTGCAACCGCAATCTGTAAAAAATACGGATTTCTCAAGAGTACGGCATTGGTGTTTGAATGGCTTGTCAAAATTCTATAGGCAAACAATACTGTTTACTTCGCATGAATTACCAGAATTTAGAGCTTTGTTTAATCATAAATGTTTAAATTATCGAGGAAAAGTGATAATTGTAAATCCTATAGAAATTGGAAGTATTAGAAATGTCGCTGTTCAAGTTCCCCAAATATTTTATAGGATTGATGTGTCTTCAATACAAACTTCTTTTAATAGCAGGTTTTCATATTTTACAACCAAAATCTTACCACAGTTTAAAGCACCATCAATGGCTCATTGTATGATATATGTTCCCAGCTATTTTGATTTTGTTCGTTTACGAAATTATATGAAAATTGAAAATATAAATTTTACCCAAATTTGCGAATACACTAAGGAAAATAAAATAGCAAGAGCTCGTGATATGTTTTTTCATAGTTCAGCACATTTTTTGATGTATTCTGAACGTGCACACTATTTCAGAAGAACTCGAATCAAGGGCATACGTCATTTAATTTTTTATCAGCCTCCTTATTGGCCAAATTTGTATTCGGAAATTATTAATTTAATGCAAGATGGGTATCAAAATCCCAGAGATGGTTTAGAATCTTCCATGAGTATTACCGTACTATATACAAAATATGATATTGTACAAGTAGCAAACATAATTGGTACAGAAAGAGCTGCTGAAATTTTGGATTCTGTTAAAACTTCTCACATGTTTACTACAACTTGTAACTAAACTAATAATATTAATTGTATAATATTTCTTTTAATATTAAATAATAATATGATAGTTATATATACATTTGTTTATTTAGATATTTTATATTTCCTAAAATAAAATGAGGTAAAATATAAATAAAATTGTTTGTGTGTTTCATTAAATCAAATAAGATAGTCTTAACTAATATCACTGTATATAAGGTACATAGTTTATGCTAATACAAAACACAACACAAAAGACAATTTTGTCAGGGGATAATTACAGAACCAATTACTATTTTTTAAAGGCTGCTAGGTAGTGGTTATTAAGTTTTTTAATTTAAAACACCGTCACCAAAAAAATGAGTTCTATTGTTTAATTACAAAAATTATATTTTGTTTATCATTATAAAGTATGTACACAATGATAATGTGCAATAAATATTCCACATTCAATATTAATAATTTTATTTATAAGGATTGTGTTGCGATATTTAGATTTCGGAATTTTCCACAAGATACAATACATATTTAATCTAGATTTTTCCAAAAAACAATCTCAAAATTCCCACAAATATTCTCATATTCTCGAAACTTCAAAAAATTTAGCAAAATTTGACAGACATTATTTGAATTACATAGTAGAATAGTATAAGGGTAGAAAAATTCCGAAACAAATTTCAAATAGAATAGTTCTCCCAAAATTTGTTTTGTAATTTGTTTGATTACAAAAATTAGATGTCTGGTCAGATAGTTATGGGAACAGTGAAATTATTATGACTTATAAAAAAATCGCATATACCTAGTTTTGTTAAATCCCCTTTTCCATTTTCAAAAATTTTCGTTCAAATTCCTATAAATATGGGAAAAATTGTTCAATATTGCCACATTGGGATTATCATACAAAATAGTTACGTATGCGTGTAGCTATGTTTTGTTTTCTTTATTAGTTTTTTTAATTTTTTAGCGTGCGGGTAAAGATTTGCTGAAATTACTTTAAGATTTTTAATTTTGCATACTTTTAGGGGGAGATCCTTGATTTAAAATATCCTCTAATAATTTTTATTAATTTTTTCTAACATGCTTGCAGGCATTCTGCTAGTATGTACACATTATACTTTGAAAATTATTATTTAAGGAATATGTATGTGATTTCGATAGATTAATAACAATTAGCATTTAATAAACGGAAGCTTGTTATACGGAATTTTGGTTTTACGAAATTCAAAAATTAAACCAGTCTACCTTTATGGTTCAAAAATTACAATTTTTATAAAAAAACTTATTTCTATTATTTTTCTGTTTAAATATACATATATGTTAAATATTATGTAGATATATAAAAACCATTGTGATTATGTATGTATAAGTTTTCAAATGCTTTTAATGAAACAGAGATCAGAGCAAAATATTGCAAAGTATTTATGTACGTAGTTGTTTTTTTCCAAGGATCTAAAAATTTCTTGTTGGTTCTTGTTGTATAATGTTGCAAAAATAATAAAATCCTACTATATTTTTTTTTAGGTAAAAAGATTCGATTTACGGAATTTCGATTTACAGACAACATTTCCGGAACATATCAGTTCCGTAAAGCGAGAATTGAGTGTAATATGTTTAAGTTTCCTATAAATTATAAAATAACGTAAATTTACAAATAAGTGAAATTCTTTACTTAAATATATAACACACTTACACATAAATTATTTACATAATTGTTAGTAAATTATAGTAATCTTCCTCTATTTCACTTTTGATTGAACTAAGTAGCTACCAAAGATTGCCACAGCTTTTGTTCGAGCACTTTTTTAGGAGTTATATTTGTTGTGGAATTTTTTTTACAAAGTGATAAAAGAAATATTAATAGAGAAAAAATTTTTAACAAAAATTTTAGAAGAGAAATCTACGTAGAAGCCATATTGGGTTGCGAACAAACTCTGTAGTTCACAGAAATATAAAGTCATATGGCTTGCCAAAATACAGATCTCAATAAGTTCCACGGTTATTTCTTAATACATTTTCAGAAGTTGAACCTGCTGGATCCCACGTCTCGAAAACCTAATATGGATCTAGACGTACTACGTACATAATTTCACAATTTTATTTTGTATTTTAAGGGGCGGAAAATCGTGTTATTAAACTATGTTGTGTATTTATCTTTAAATCCTACTAATTTCTACTTTGCATAATTTAGGTAGTTTTACTTATTTCCGATTTTTTTTGTTGTTAACAAGTAATTTTCATAATTTTTGACTTTTTATACTTTGTATGACACGCGTTTATTAAATGTTTTATTTGATCTTTTATATAAGTGTATTTTAATTGTAAACTTAATATTTTCGTTTAAAAAAAAAGGACTCCGTAATGTACGTATGTATATGAAATAATTTAAACACAAAAAAAGAAAGAATTCGAAGAATAAGAGGAAATAGTCTTTGTTAGCCGGATAAAATAAAACAAAATTCTTGTATATAGTAGAATGTTATAGAGTATAGACTGACTGATTCTAAAATGGTTCTCGAATAGAAATAAAAAATAAAGTGTTAAGTTTACATTTTTTTCAGTACTATAAAAGAGAATAAATTGGAAAAGTTTTCTGTTGAATTTTTTTCGCCCGTTTTTCTTTTTTTTTTTCATTTACTCTTAATTTTTTTCGTTATTTCGGACTTCAATGTGAGGATCTCTCTACATATTTTATTTTCGTTATTTTAGATTCCATGTCAAAAACTTTTTCAACAATTTTATTAAAATTTTTTTCGCGTTTTTCTATTTTATTCGTAATTTTTTTTTTGCCTGAATTTCTACTTTTTAGTATACTTTTGATTTTGATTTTTCCTAATAAAACTTTAATTCGCTGAAGAAGAAAAAAAGTTAAAAATTTAGAGTTTTGAAGCTATAGTGACATAAATCACATTTTTCCTATTGTCCTCACAATGTTTGTAACCTATTATGAATTTGGTGTGCCATTCAGAATAATTTGAAGTTTCAATTTAGCCGAGGTATATGAATTGCATTGAATCCTTAATAAAGAGATTAAATCCAGAGTTTAGTACACAAATAAACTTAAAAAATTTTTCAACAATTATTTAAAGAGATTTTATATGCATGAATAATTATACTGAAATAATTAGGCTTATTTATATTTCAGACCTTACCATTGGTGTAGTGGTTATAGCACCAGCCCTTTAACCAAAGGGTTTCGGGTTCGAACCCCAAACCCCGGACAGGTCACTATAAAAATTATATTCAATATTATAACTTTATATGTAATACTTATAAAATAAAAATAAATTAGTATACAAGTAACTTTCATAATATATTCTGTATTAAAAAATTAAGAAAAATAAACAATAAATATTAATAACTTTAAATATTTAGTATAAAGAAAAAAAAATACGGCAGGTTAGTCACCTACCTAGTTAAAATACTCTACGACGTGGAAACGGGAAACTGGAGAATGCTATCTATGATGCTAGTGCATAATAGCCCTATATGTTTCAGTAATTCGTATCATTAAACTTAAATTTAGTAGAAAATGTTTCAAAAAATTTGCGAGACATGCTTAAAAGAAGTTGAGTTTTCAATCTACTTCACCAATTAGTATTAATGTTATTGTAATTGTTTTATAGTTTTTTTTATATATTATGTATTCATAGTATATTAACTTTTATTTAGTGTTAGAGCATCTTTTAGTTGCAAGAAATTTTGTTCAATTTTCTTATAAAAGTTATTAAGCTTATGAGGTCGGCTTTTATAAATAATTTTGAATGATATATTATTGCGATTTTCGTTGAAAAATTTAATTTTGTTTTATTTTAAATTTTTAATGAAGATTAAAAGTAACATAATATGTTATACTTATTTGTAAATTTTTGAGGAAAAATATAGTGACCATATCTTCTTTTTGTATGGTATTCATAATTCAAATACATTATGTATTTGAACTAAGCATATACAAATGAATAGCTATAATCTGTTTTATAGCTCTCATTTCTATAGGATACTCAAGCTAATTACTAACTAGTTTTAAATTATTATTTTATTGATTTATTCAATAGAAAATTCTAAACGTATCTACCTGTTACTTGCTTCAATTATTGCACTATTATGAAAATACTTTTATTCTTTGAGTTACAACATTAAATTCTTATTATGCAACATTAAATTCTCGTGTATATACATATAATAATAAAAGATATTCAGAATTATGTGCTATGCTAGTGATAGTCTAGCGCAATGTTTCTCAACTAGTATGCGTCTCAGATAGGTACCACTATGTAAAATATATATTTTATTATATCTATTTCAAAATAAATATGGGCTAAATACTTTTATACAATGATGTTGTGAATGTTTTACTATGTATAAAATTGTGATATAAATTATAAATAAAAATGTTTATTGCATTTTTTTTATTGTATATACATATGTAAATGTCAAATGTGTCTAGCGAACTTTATAAAAAACCTTCGAAGTGTCACCATCTGAAAATTGATGAAAAGCGTTGACTCTTGCGTGTATTTTTCAGTACTTTAAACAGAATATCTCGAATTCAAATATGATTTTTAGAATAATTTTATAAAATATGTTAATCATATTAAAAATGAAATCATATAAATAATAAAATGAGACAAAAACCAACGTTGCCAGAAAAAATTTTTAAATATAAAATATATCACATTGTTCACAATAGCACTTATTTTTCTTCTTGGGAGTAATATTAAATGGTATCGACATGTTGAGTTCTTATATACAGATATATCGAGTCTTTAAAATTTAAAGCAAATTTTTACAGCTAAGCGTAATCTAATCTACTATATCAGTTGTTCAGAAATTAGTTTTGTAATTAATTTGACGCTACTCCGATTTTCTACTGGGAACTTTTAATATCGAGTGACCATATTGTTATACATGCAGAATTTTTTCAAAAGTTAGAAATCAATATTTATAATAATCGTTGGCAATACTATTTTGTATCAAGGTATAAAAGAATATATTTTTATTTCCTGTTATACTTGTACATTCTAATTGAAAAGATTTTTTTCCAACTTATCAAAAGTTGTATAAGTAATAATATTTCTCTTTTCACTTTAAATTATATAGAAAAAATATAAATTTTTTTGTCAGACTAATAGGAAAAATTGTAAAA